TACACAGTCGACAGAGGAAAGGAGCATACACCGAGTTGTTCAAAACGCTCACTCGGCCTATCGGTCAATACCGTAATTACTCCGACTGCAGCATGCACAATTGATAGCGAAAGCATGGAAAACTTAGAGGTCATTCACTGAACGTTAGTTCTGTGACAGCTAACCTGAACCACCATGAACGTTGTGCGTACTGAACTGTTCCTATTTTAGGAACAACCTCTCGTGTACTTTGATTATCAACCTGTCCTAAAACAAAAAAATTACGACAGCAGCTTCGTTCGTCGAATAACCAACATCTCCAGACGAGGACAAGAGAACTGGAAAATGATAACCGAGTGAGACGAGTGGTTTCGGGACTCGAAGGTATAAATACCTAGGGTAAACAGTATGCGTACAAGTGCCCGTAGTAGTGCAATGTTCTAATGTGCCATAGTTGAATGCATTCAAGGGGAGAGGTTAACACGCATTGGTAAGCAGGAATTACAGATAAGCGGGTAAACACCGTTCTTACAATCGCACGTGGCAAGATTTAAGTCGATCATACCGTCGACCTCAGAAGGAAAGTTGATAATGGAAGTCAGAAATGAGTAGGGGAAAAGGATTGATGAGACAAAGTAGCAACATGTTTGCCTATGCAACTTGGTGCAGACAGAAGACGGTGTGATACACGAGTGTGAGTCGAAATATTGGGAAGGTACTTAAATCAAGAGAGATGAAAAATCAGGGTACTCAACTAAACTCCGGCAGAAAAGCATGACAAGTCATCCGGAGCTAGGTGATGTTATGTGTTAAGGGACAATTTCGCAGAAATGGACGCCATCTGATTCCAAAGCCAGATGTAGTGGGCTAGGACACTCAGTTCGTTCAAACTAGAACCATCCACCATCATCGACAGCAGTACATGATCCACTTTAACTGATGCTTCGCTGCCGTACAACCCTGGTGACTTACGGAACGATGAATACAAAGAGGAAGACTTACCAAACAATATTAATGCCACAAGCAAACATTCAGGATCAAGGCGCCAACATCTTATCAACAAGCTACCATCACAAACAGCTGGCTATCGTGCAAATTTAGGGCGGCTTTCACTGTCCCGCGTCATAATCAGCCATTACCCAGCAGACAACACAGCACCAAACACACTTTAAACAGGCAATCAGATTAGGGGAGGGAGGAAAATGCAAAATTGGTGTGGACTGTGAGCCATATCCTCTAAAGTCTCGAGCCAGGCACAAGGCGTCATGTGGACTCCAGTCTGGAAGGCGAGACGGATCGAGGGCACCCAGTTTGGTCGTCAGTGACTTCATTACCCGCTGCCAAGTCAACTTCTGTCCACCTCGAGTCTTGCGCCACCCTACATCTGGCAGACTAAACAAGGCTCTCCTAGGTAAGCGGTGACCAGGCATACGTAGTACATGCCCAAGCCAACGCAAATTATTCACTGCCATCTGTTGTTCTAAGGAACTAGCTTGGCTGTCACTGCCTAGTACTCGCCTACGCACATCCTTGTTGTGGGCACGCTGGTGGCACCAGACATCAGCAATACTCCGCAGACAACGATGACCAAAAACTTGAAGGCGCCTCAGATCATCAGACCGAAGGAGCCAAGTCGCACTCCGATAGAGTAGGATGCCCTTACTGTGTCTTTGTAAACACGGCCCTTCAGACGGAGGGAAACGACTTTCTGTCATCAAATATGTTGCAGATTCAAGAAGGCAGTTCTGGCTTTCGCAATGCGTAAACTGACCAGATTCTATGCGCCCATCGTTGCTGCTGCAGCTGCCAAGGTAAGTGAAAATATCAACCACCTCGAGTCCCTCGTTATCAAAGGTCAACGGGTCATCAAGTGCCTGGTGGTCCAACAGCAACACTTTGAAGGTGCGAAGCGCATACCAAATAAGGAGACCACTCTAGTGAGGCTATTCAGGCTTGATTGCGTCGCCCCAACATCGTCAAAAAAGCAAGACGATATCGTCAGCATTAACAAGATCAACTAACGTTTCACCGGGCAGAACCTAAACGCCAGCATCGTGAGATTCCGCAAGGGAACACTCCATGATGGAGTCCACGACAAAATTGAACAAAAACGGGGAAATTGGACAACTCTGACGAACGAAACTTGTTGTCAGAAAGATATCCCACAAATCCTGACGCGGCGGGTAGGGTTCGAGTATAGGGCACGCAAAATATGCACCCATTTCGTGGGAATATCTTTTCGCGTAAGTATTTCGAACAGATTGGATCGATCTGCTGAATTAAACGGGCTCTTGAAGTCGAGGAAAAAAGCTATTGTCGGTCTGCGGTACACGTGGCGCGGATATTGCAATCACCGCAGCGTGAATATATGGTCTATACAGTTCCGTCCCGGAGGGAAACCTGCCTGCTTTTCCCCAATCCGAGATTACCGTTCCACAGTGAGGCGAAGAACGAGAGTCGAGAACAGTAATTTTGCCACAATTAGCATTGGGTAAATACCCCCTGTGGCTAGCACAGTCAATGCGACTGCCCTTCTTGTATAACGCAACTATAATGCATTCATTCCAGTTAGCCGGGACTTTCTCTCCCTTCCAGATATGTTCGAACAAGGTCAGCGCATTGCAGATAGCCCCACCTCCATCCTTAAATAGTGAAGGTGGCAGGCAATCCGGGCCAGCGGCATGAAAACGATTGAGAGCTGCGATCGCGCTTCAGAGCTCAGCATCCAACGGAGCTTCTAAACTAACTGTCTATGGTTCAACCCGCATCATCTGAGTAGAAAGAGGTCCGAAGCGGAGGGGGCAACTGAACTGATCTTGAAAGTGTTCCACCCATGCAGCATTAATGTGAATCAGAGCATCCGCGCGGCTTCTGATGGTCTGACTGACTCCTGCTGTCATGGGACCAGTGGTGCGGATCAGCTGGAAAAGCTTGTGATAATTACCTACTGTTTCTGCCTCCTCCATTTCTTCAGCTCGACTGGCCAACCAGGCTCCCTTCTCAGCACGCAGACTCCGTTTTAGGAAGCGCCTAATAGTCCGACTGGTAACATTGTGCTCAGAGTCAGCAGGGAGGTTCCTACTGGATTCCAATAGGTTCACCGACCTCTCGAATATGCAGTGACTGGTGCGATGGCGAGTGATAGTACCGCAACCAGATGCTCCTGCATCGTGCATGGCGACCGAGATCACATTCCACTGAAGCTCAGTGTCATTAGGACAAGGGAGCGATATTTCGGTACGCAGTGCATCCTGATAGTCTTGCCTGTCGACGGCTGAGATAACTTCTCAGTTGCCAAAAGAGAGAGACGCTTGGTGCGCATCCCGGTAAATTTCATGGAGAAACGACAGCGTACCAAGGCATGATCAGAGTCGACGCAGGTATTCCAGAACGAGCGGCAATTCAGGATGGAACCAGGTCACCTGTAACTTATGGCAACGTGATATACTTGGGCCCATCGCTGGCAAGCTACAGGACGCCAATTGGCACTTCGGCACCCACTGTGTCTAAAAGCAGTGCTACTAAGAAACAGATGGCACTTCGCACACCGTTACAAAAGACGCTCGCCGTTGTCCGTACGCTCCAGGTTAAGCCCGTAAGTACCACCTAGCTGAGCTTCTGAAGAGCCCAGGCGACATAATGGTGCATTCATCTCCCATGCAAGTACTATGATGTGCGTACTAGTAGCACTCCGTAGTAGCGCGTTCAGTTCGTGATAGAATATGTCCTTGGCAGTATCAGAACAACAGTCGGTGAGAGCATAAGTGGAAACCACAAGCAAACAGCGTCTTGTACTACTTCGTGAGTCAACCTTAGTTGACGTTGGCGAACAGGCTGCACACAAACGGCTGTTCACCGGAATCCAATCAACCAACGATGGCTCAGCCTTGGAGCTGAGAACAATGCCCACTCCAGCCTGACCAGTGAGTGCTACATCCGCGTCTCCGGATGCGTACAATCAATAACGAGAGGATAAGTCGGGCGCAGTTAATTCAACAACCCCGTGAGCGTCATTGATTCTAGTCTCGGACACACAACGCACGTCAATAACCACTGTGTCCAAAATGTGTGCGGGTAAAGCCTGTTGACCCATTTGTTTTAGAGTGTGAATGTCGAACGCCGACAGGGAAACGGGACAGCGTAGACTGTTGCTGATAGGTGTCCAGTGGGTGGTGCGGGAAGATGGCTGCAGATGGTTCGACTCCTGTGGTACTGCGGCTGCTGCTAATTAAGCTGGGAATTGTAGAAGGAATGTTAGTAATTAGGGATGAGTTGGGAGTAGAAGAAATAGGTGGAAAAGAAGGAAGGCGCCAGCAGTACCATATTTTCGCTTATCCGCACTACTGTATGCAGCAGATAAGGCGATCCTTGATAATCTGCGCGGCGGTCGATGCACTATATAGTTTGAGGTTTGAAAAATTTTCATTATTGTATGTGGACAGATATTGCCAGATCTCCCAGACCTAGACAGGATGATTAGGGTCCTCAACAAAAGCTTTTCGCTTAATAGCCTGTCTGCAAGGCAATGGGGAGGTGACGATTATTTATTTTTACAGAAATGGACGCCATCGCATTTCGATTCTTCGACCTGGAGACTGAGTTTGTCTGATCTCTAACCACTGAGCAACTTGGTAGGAGTCGATCTCAAGGTGTCTGGGAGCCCCACCCAGTATGACTTAATGGGTGGATGAGGTACGCAAACCGTCGGACCACATTAAGGTCCAGTCACGTTGCGACGGAACAATCTGAGGGGGTAAACCTCAGAGTGTGCAAAGTCCATACTTTACGAAACAAAAGGGATCCGTTTAGGCTTGTTTTCGGTGAAACCGAAGGGAAAGGCCGGAACGACTGGTGTCTCCCTAGCCAGATTTCTAAGACACGTTACATGGGGTAATCATAACAGTACTTTTTCAAACTGCAGCCGAACACACTGTATCTATACATAAATGATCTGCAATTACTTGCACGGGTAGAATAGCAGCGTGAGAACTTATGATAAATGTGGCCCAACGTTGGTCAATAAAAAGGCAATAAAAGTAGTATTTGCTGGTAACAATAGCGGAGGCGTGGTTAGCGTTAGGCTTTGTGAGCATACAGACCAGAGAACAAGGTCCGAAATTGAACGTCAGTGGATGGTTTGACAGGGGCAAAACCAAAACGAAATGGAGCTCGTGCAATTATCATGTACACATTCGGTCAGTTGGGGAGCCTTGCAAAAGGTATCAAACAAGACGAGCCCACAAAAGCCGAACATCAATGAATGAATCACCTGTACAAATACAGATAGTTTCGAAAGCAACATGAAGTGGATAAAGTCACAAATACCGGAACAATCTGTTGGTGAGTATCGGAGAGAAGGCAATAAGCGCAGTTATTAGCATGTGCAAGAAAGGCGACAGTAGAGAAAAGGCAAACGCGTTCACTTTGTACATGATGAAAGGGGTGAGTGGGGAACACGCGTACATGATGGATGCAGCCAGAGCCTGAATACGAAGGAAATCAGCAAGTCACAGCCGCCGAAGAATGTTTGCACGCGTATTAGTCACGAGGAGAAATGAGGTGCCCTGTTCAAACATGCAACGCGATCCCAATGGAGGACGAGTGAATCTCAGCAGTTGTTGCAAACAGCTTATGGTCGCTGTCATGAATGTGCCTAGAGAAAATAAAGGAGCAATTAGAGAAGGGCCAAATACGATGCGAAAACAACAAAAAAGGGAAAACTAACGTCGGGAGAACGGGCAGCATTGAACTGTAACAAAGCGAAGAGTACAGATGGAATGCTACCTTCAAGGCGAAATCGTTAGCACGGTGGTAAAACTCCGGTACGATGAATTAAGGTGAGAATGTGTGGCACGATGGCACGGGAGAGGCGAGCACAACAGAATCATTCTGACTTTCCGAGCTGTTCATGGGACTTGGATAGGTATGCTTAGAGGAGTCAGATTTAAAAGGATCGTCAGTGGCCCGAGAGAAGACTTCATGGACTGCGTTTGATGTTCGAGAGACTTGGTAACCGTTCAGTAAAAAGGACTCATTTCGAAAATGTTGAGCAGACAAAATGCCGGACACTGAGTTGGACAACGGCGGCAAGGTAATATTTCGTGAATGCAGCAACTGATGTAGATAATCCTGCAGTGGGGACATAGTAAGTGAACGAGGGTAGACAGTCTATCAGCAAACAGTACAGGATGGACAGTTACTTCAGGGGACATAGTCAACGATGCATCGCTGATATCTACACAAGTGCATGATGCAATACAGGGTTCGTAATACAATCGGAGGGGTCGAGGTGTCCGTTAGGAAGCCTTGAAATCTCGCTGACAGAGTTGGTCAGACGATGCTAGCTGTGCTTCTCACTAAGTGCATGGAAAGCAGTTGCAAAAATAAAAAGAAGTCTCGTGAGTAAAAGCCGCTGCCTTCGTTGACCAAGTTACTGTCAGATGAAATTAATTCACAGTTGTGCTGAATAGGCGTCTCTGGTCACAAACAAATGTAGAAAAATCATCGTCCATATACTACAATCGGCAGGAGATTATCAGAAATCTACTCAGAGATCTACGGGTATCCCCCATGTGAGTATTCGGTATCGACAACTGTAAATAAGGGCACATGAGGTAGTCGAACAGTTGAGGAAGCGATACGATTACAGTTCTTCAGGAATGGACTTATCCTGGTAGTGTTAGTGTGCCTATGGCGGAAACAGTACAGGACGATGGCGAAGATAACTGACCTCATTCCATCAAAAAACAACGTGACTTTGCTTAAAAAGCCGTACACCCGACCTACATGGTAAGAAGTCTGGATGCAAGGTGGAGCAATCAGTAAAGCAGTGCACTGAAGCACAGAGGAGCAAGGAAAGCACACGCACTAGTGATTGTGAGGTAGACGTGGAAAGCTAAATTGCTGCGTTGGATAAGATGCTATCTGCGTGGCTCCAATGCTCCGATCCAAATCGTCGTGAGTAAGGATAGTAGGCAATGCACCATATCTCCGTCATTCGTTGATGAACACATGAGGAAGATGGTCGTAGCCACGAGCAACTCAAAGTGACAAGAAAAGAGAAGTCAAGAGAAATACGAGTGAAAAATATGACGAGGATGGCCGTCAAAGCTGGCTGTCTTGCCTGATAGGTTTTAGGTTGATTACCGAACTGGAATCCTAGCTACACAGTTCGATGAGTGACCCTACGAAACAAGCACCGGAGAGCGAAAGGCCGGACCGCCAAGTGAAAAAACGCAATAGACAACAGAAAGAAAAAAGGCAAAAGGAAAGACAACAGAGGAGGAGCGTGGAATTAAAAGATGAACGGATGCAGGAAAGAGATCGATTGAGGGCAAAGTCTACTGCTACTTATCGGGCTTAAGCTGTAAGGTGTACTAGTAACACAGGTGCGTTTCAACGAAAAACCCTGCAGTCCGCTCCTCATGTACCAATAGGGAGAGTCATCAAACTAAACACCGTGTTGTCAAAATAGGCAAAGTTAGGGGCATACACCAGGTCACTGCAGTCTGGTATTTTCTCACACACACCTCACTTGGCATTTATAGGTTTGAATTAGTTCATATTGTAACATTACCTGGCAATTCATATAAGTGAACTTTAATCCTCCCATTGTTTCGCTACAGATGATAGCATAAGGAAAGTTTTGTTCAATTTAATCATTCCTGTCCTTTTCGTGTTAATGTATCGGTAACGGATAATGATTAGAAAATGCATTCTAGTTCAGAGAATGTGAGGATCTAAGGTAAAACGTTTGTCACCCCCACGATTTGACCTCTGGTCAGCACTACAGCAGTCCGCCATGTAGCTAACCATGATAGTGGACGTAATAAAAAGATTAGAATACACTAAGCTGCGTAATGATTACATTTCATCATGTTGTAGCAAGAAAAATGCATGGTTATCATTGTTATGATCATCGGTAGTGTTGTTATTCGATGATGAAACCGCGCTGATCCACCCACCTTTGGTAGGTACGAGTGCAGACTGGGTTTGCGCCGGTTTCCCATGGATCCCCGTCTCATTCTTCAAGATGGTGCGGTGGATATGGAGTTCGTGGGTGAGGCGTAGACCACTCGTGATTGGGTGCGGGCGGCATCGCAAGGACCGCAGCCAAACTTACACAAAAAGCATTTCTTATTATCGCCGTGCATTAATGACTGTGTAAAAGTCTATCGGCCAGATTCAACATAGTATCAGCCCTTTGCAAGATAGGAAATATAAACGATTGATCCGTCTATTAAAACTAAGAATACAGTCAAACCCGCTTTATTGCCCAGTATCTCAAAATACAAATTCTTTGCTCATAAATACGCTAAAGGTTCTCCGTCTAATTGCCCGTTAACGAGGTCGTCCCACCACTTAATTGCCCAGCTGCGTGGGCTATGCACTTGTCGCTTTGTTAATTTTATGCCCTCTATTTGACTCTTTTATTAAGATCGCCCCAAGGCTAGCCAGTCCGATCGAGTCAAGAACAACAAAGATGTCGGCGGCGTTATTGACAGCTCAGAAAAGGTTACCTACGTCATTCAATACACGAGCAAGCTAAATGAACAGATGGTTGTGGGCAAAGCCTCGGCCCTACACAAAACTCGAGAAATGAGCAAAGTCGGGTAAACTTTCTCTCCACACAAGTATGCTAAGTAACAGAAAAATTGGAAGTTTTGGACAAATTAAAAGTTATCCACCAGGAACCTCGCAGTTCAAGATATCGCGTGATTTACACATTTATCGTCGTATCATAGCCAGGTTGATTGCCAGTGAAAAGGAAGTCTGGGAGAATTTGTCGTATGGCACTGCAACCTCTTAGAAAAGGAAACGATGAATAAGTGGAAACTGCGTTGAAAGACTGGATGATATCGGTTCGTGAGCATAAGCAAACAGTTACAGTCCCGCTTCTGAAGAAAACGGGAGAATTCGTAGAAAGACTTGAAAAAAACTGTGCTGCCACAGAAGGACGGCTGCGAAGATGGAAGAATAGAACTCAAATTGTGTATAAACGTGCACATGGCGAAGAGTTCTGCGGACGGCGCAGTCTGTGAAAATTGGCCGAAAGATCGACTGCTTGAACTTTTAAATGCTTTTTATAATGACAAGGTGTAGAATGCAGACGAAACAGGTCTTTTCTACCGAGCGACTCCAGAGCGCTCTTTGTGTTTCGCTGCCGACAAGCGCAGCAGATCGAAAATGCCATGGATAGGATCACTTTCCAGTGCTGCGCGAATAGTCGGGCACAGAAAAAATTATTGATTTAAAAAGTAAGAAACCAGGATGTTTCAATGGCGTGAACGTACGTACACTACCAGTAATTTAGAGAGCTAACAAGAATGCGTGAGTATCGAAGGAACTTTTCATCGAGTGGGTCCCTGAATGGGACAAGGAGTTAGGTCAATGTGGCCGAAAAATTATGTTATCTTGGATAATTACACAGTGCATCCACAGGTAGGAGGACTGAAAGAGGTTCAAATGGAATTTTTGCAGGCAAACATGGCTAGCATTCTTCGATGCATGGGCCAACGTGTGATTATGAATCTGCGAAACCGTTACAGAAAAGAAATTGTGCGCCGAATTCCTTATCACATCGAAAACAACGTGTTATCTGGCTCATCATCGGCGGCGAATGTCAAAGCCAAGATTTCTATGCGCAATGCAATTAAGTTCATTCCAAAAAGTTGGAGACCGGTTACCGGTGCAACAAAAAATCGTGCTTTCAGCATGCTGGCTTCAGTCGACTGGCATCCGATGCACTTTCTGATGACGCCGTCATCGCTGACGACAAGATCAGCGCTTGCACAACTCGTTATCAATGCAGAAGATTACGTCGCCATTGACCACGATGTGAAACGCAACTCAGATCTGACAACTGTTGAAGATGAAATCGTCAGCAAAATTTTAGACAACTGACGAGGACAAAGAAGGCAGCGACTCAGAGGATGACGTGCCGGATGCCTCCGTCAGTAAAATCAAACAGCGCGTGTCGTATTCAAGAGCATATGACTGTGTGAATGATCTGTGTAGCTAAGGACATTTGCATGGGTAAGACAAGGATCTCCCATCCCAATTGGACTTCATCAGAGCAAAAGTGACTGGGGTATCTGCACGAAATAATGTACCACTGACGTTGAATTGTTCTCTCAGTAAAAATATGCCGTAGCGACAGTTTCCATGGCTATCCAGGTAGGATGCTTTAAATTATAACTTCTGAATTATAGGTCATGCTCTTCTGAATAAACGCCTTTTGTAGGCTTCAGTTAAAAGTATGTATTTTATCCTTCTTAGCACGTTACAATTTAAGTGATATACTACACAATAATGCAATGGTTGTTTCCCTTTTGGGAAAATGGCAATATGGGTTAATTGCAAACCACGATTTATTGCCCAGTTTTGAGATGTCCCGATGGTGGGCAACAAAGGGGGTTCGACTGAATATATATATATATATATATATATATATATATATATCAGATGTACACAAGGCGGGGGCTGGGCTGTAGCCCGCTCTACCCTGGATGGAACCACTCTTTGAACCTGGCACGGTCACGAGGACCGTGGAGAGTGTCTCCCCCAGCAACGATCAACTGTCTCCTGGAACCAGCATAACCGAGGCGACGGTTTTTCGACAGGTATGCACCTTGTCAACATTCACACCAAGCGCAGCAACACCGAAGTAATCAGATAGCAAACATGTAATATGAGAGAAAATAAACATGAATGATGACGTTGATTGTGGCAATAATCAAGGCATCGTCCACTCAAAGATCATCAGTGGTGGCACCTGCAACGGTGCAAAGTTCTCAATGTTTACCGAGGAACTTGTGGTGGATACCCTGAAGAGTGGAGATAAACGGTGCATGGCTGATTATGTACAATGTTAGGATTTACATGCCGGATGATCCAAGGAGGGTCTTGAGCGCGTATTGTCAGCTGAAGTTCCTGTCGGCCTACTTGTACATGATAAATCCAGTAGAAAACGTGTCTCCAACGGTGTAAGCGTCGGCGAGACGTCTGCTGATCAACCTGACGATTGATCAGACGTTAAGTGCGGCCATTCAAGAGAGCATTGGAATGGTAACCAAGAAGGACTGCATTATTGCGTCCTCAATATGATGCGAAGCCTGAGAAACGCAGCAGCCGGACAGTTCATCAGTAAGTGACCGTGTTTAACGTTACTGCTCTGTTTCTAGTTAATACACCATTTTCATTTTAAAATGGGCGTTTCTCAAACTAAACTGCAGAAGTTACCAGCAAAAATTCAAAGCGGTCGAAGGTCTTTAGGCTCACGTGACCTGTTCCGAGGAAAACGCAATCACTAGTCTCACCAGGGTAGGGCTAGCGTGACCACGCTAGCCCTACCCTGGTGAGACTAGTGATTGCGTTTTCCTCGGAACAGGTCACGTGAGCTTAAAGACCTTCGACCGCTTTGAATTTTTGCTGTCAAACTGCCGAAGTTAGCATGTATAGGGCGGGTACCGAGATGTCGATTGCGTACGCTTGTCAGGTTGCAGTGTCGTGGCACTGTTGACGCGGTCTAGTTCGTAGTGTCACTTGTTGAGAGTTATCTTTAATCATCTGAGGGTGTTGAAGACAGTAGATACGGATAAGGGGATCCCGTTCTCACAGTCTCCGCTGCAGCTGCACCAGTGTCCTCGGAATACCATTCAGCGGTCTATTCATCGCGCCGCAGGATATCGGAAATCAGCTTGACCCTGTTGTTTCCTCTACATCTGTGCTGAGTGTTGGTGCTTCTCGTATGTTTTTTGCTGTGCTCTCGTTGACATCGGCAATTTCATTAGCTTGGTGAATGGTCCAAGAACACAAGCTTGATGAAGATATCTTTCTGTACCGATGACCTTCGCTTGTATCGCCGCAACATCGGTGATGCGCTCTCTCGTCGCTCCTTTTTGTCGTTTCATGAAGTACAAGGCTAATAAAGCTATGCTGGGTTTGTTGGAGTCATGACAGCCTACACTGCTCCAATAGTTGTGCAGGTGCATAGGTTCGCCCACACACCCACACAAAATACGCGAAGGCCCATAGAGGAACTGGAGACAACTGGGTCACCGGATTTGATGGAGCTGAGCGACGCCCATGATCAAGAGAAGGATTTACACAATCGCCCATTCTTGCACACTTCCGTTGTATTCGCGTGCGCATAATGTGGCCCGAATATCGTGCAGTCGCTTTAGTCCCTTTTGTTTGATAACAAATTACAGCAGTAGGCCAATAAAGCTAGAATGGGTTTGGTGGAGCCAGGACAGGCTACACTGTTCCAATAGTCGCGCAGCTGCATGGGTTCACCTACACAAAATACGCGAAGACCATAGAGAGATAGGGAAAATTGGGCCACCGCCTCTGCTTCCCCAGTTACGGTCCAAGTAATGAAATTGGCCAAGGTTTATTTCAATGAGAATCGCGGTCCCCATTGAGATTGCACATCGTAATCCATTCATAGAACGAGTACTTCACAGTGACCTTCCAAAGCTAGGAAATCTTTGCCAAAGTCATTGTAGACTGAGCGATGCGGGAGTCTGAGTTTCCAATAGTCACACAGCTACACAGGTTCATGCATACAAGCCAGACACACAAACTACACGAGGCCGATGGGAAGAGAGGAGGAAAGTCAGTCACCGCCCTTGGTAGAGGTTTGAGATCAAGAGAAGAGTTTGCAGTGGCACCTGCTGCTTGCACAATTCGGTTGCGTTAGCAGGACCACAATGTGGTTTGAGCATCGTCCAGTCGCCTTATTCCTCATTTCTTGCTAAAGATATCATTGACTTTTTACTTAGAACGTAACGTGTCCAATTTACTTGTAAAACATCCAATGTGGTTTGCAAAATGTCCCATTTGAAGTGAAAATGGCATATCTTGCTTAGTGTAGTCTTGAAAAAGACGCAAGTTTACGAAACGGAGATGTTTCCCCATTACCATTCCATCTCTGCAGCTCAATGATGGCAGATTTGAGCCGTTCTGGATCCATGTCTAGAGGAACATGGATCTTTAAATCTTGAGCCTATTTAAGCGGTACAAGATTAGTCTCGGACTGACTTCGTCTGCAAAGCTGATTCTCATTGGTCGACCTTGTTGATAAACTTTCTTTCCATGTAATTTGCCTCACTTTCCTGGACTCAACCGCGTGGAAGATCACGAAGTTAAAACGCCTTCGGTCGGTCAAGGTTGCAAGGCGAGAACTTTCCCGAGCTTCACGCGGTCCGGCCTGCCGTTGATTTGCAGCGGTTGAACACTTTGCGTCTTATTGTACTTCCCACCCTTGTACTTTTCACGTGCCTTCAGTACACGGGCCTTCACACACCGGGACATCTGTGCCTGTAAGATACAACACAGGTGATACTGGGCTGCTGGCAACGGCGGAACTTCGTGCCGGTGAGTTCGCACGGGAACAACAGGGAAGTTATCTGAAGTCCGGAGGCGCTTCGGGCTAGGTTTACGGGGCAAACACACGGAGCTAATCGCAACGCAACGATTCATCCTAGAAAGCGGCTTCTGATTCTGTGCTACATTCGCCGGCTGTATCTCATTTCGGCAATGATTGCACAAAATGCGAACGTGATCATGTTGGATTTCACGAAAACGTTGAAAATACTCCATCGAGAGTCCAGTACATGAAATGTGGAATTTAACATGACACATGACAAGTGAGGGTATGTGCTCCAAGTCCGACAACCTTGGAATAGGCACCACAAGGCGATTGTTTCTGCATAAAACATCAGTGATAAAGATGGCGACCAAGTGCGGAGCACAAAGCGGTAGTAAGAGCTCCGAAACCAAACAGTGATAACACAAGTATATATGATTGAAAAAAACTGAATCAAATTGTAATTTCTACGAAATAATTCCAATGAACGGAGAAATCTAACAAGAAATAAGCTTGTTAACACAGCCAGGCAATCAAACAGAAATTGCGCGTAATGAGTAAGCAAGACAGTTTAGCAGTTATGATGGTATAGAAAAATGGGATGCTGTGTAAAACAGGTTTACAACAAGAGGATCAGACAGTGTTGAGTCTTGAAGTTCCCGCTGTGTGTCTGGATTGCGACACGCAATCTCTATCGAGGTCGAGACTTGTTTTGAAGCAAACCTCTGCCATTTCGATCAATGGGACCATATCGCAAGTGGAGAGTTTCGGAGCTGCTCTTTCCCAACATTGCAGTGTGTCGTTTTGGATGAGGAACAGACGCTCAGCTAACTTTGAGAGTAAAACTCAAGGATGAATAAGTCTAGAGAGGAAAAGTGCAACGAGCTATTGTATATGTGGCAATTTATGCATTCCTGATAGAGTTTTTCGTAGCACATCACCATATGGAGAGAAGATAAAATAGAGCATAGGACGCTGCACCGTACAATCACATACACACTGCAACCCAAATGCCATGGCAAGGCTTGATCAAGCGTTAGCTGTGCCAGGTCATCACCTCAGCGGAACTGAAGGGTGACGTGTACACCGGCTGATGGGCTGCGTGATTCATGGAACCAAGATGTTGGCGCAATGCGAGTGTTCTCAGTCTCTTTTACCAGAATGAGTAAGATGCCACATTATTCAGTCTTAGTCTCGCACAGCATGATAAACTGTGCCTAAAAAGTAGCTGCGGAAAGGCAGTGTATGGCGACTTTTGAACAATCAACGCATTTATACAGGCTGGAATCGGTTACCTCTGGCAGCTTGGCAACGAAGACCGTTAATGCGAACCTAGTGATGCGAAATAACCAAGAATGTAGATTGAAAAAGTTCAGAAAGGGGCTGAAGCAACAACTGCCCCCATTCATGTAGACTATTGTTCAAAGTTTAAGCGGGTGATTTATACAGTGAAAGTAAACTAGGTGACGTGCTTCGGCCTTGGCTGGCGATAAGCATCAGCAATAATTGAGTAACAATATCAGTGGGATGCGAGAAAAACCATTCGGACGTACAGTAGCCTTTTTGAAGATATAAAAACAAGGATGTGGATACGGATTTAACCATTGGATAACAGAAGCTGGGTATAAAAGAAGACAAATCATAAATGAGTACACAGGTGTGTGCATGCAAAGATCAGTATGTAGCTACACTAAAGTCGAGAGTGATAGGGCATCACTTGAGAGGGTGGGATGAGAGACGCCATAATGCAGCGAGTTCCAAAAAACATCTCAAGTATTTGCAGTAACACACAAGGATGAGAAAAAGTGGCACTTACAGAGTGCCATGCTCTGGGAGCAGCGAGCGAAAGCTGACGTTTGGCGTCACTGTAGGCCACATTTGAGTGTAAATCATTGCCAATCTCATCTGGTTGATCAACGGCAGAACCGGAAATTCGACTATCCAGAGGCTGGCTACGCTGATCAAGAGTAGAATTCTTCGGAGCAACTGGTTCCAGTGGAACTCCAACACCGCATTTACTTTGCGTTGCGATATCCAACGGTCCGTCACAAACAACCAGGTTTAAAGTAGGGCCAGCCCGGCGGAACACCTTCAAAAAGCAGAGATAAAGTAAGGCACAATTAACGGGTACCCAAAAAACCAAGAACCCCTACAATTGACCCACATAACCTCGTCTAGCATCGCACTACAAACATCGCGGTAGGGTCAAAGCGTGAAGTGGGTCGATATGATGACAACGACCGGCCACAGTCGCTCGACCAATCCACAGGTATGACAATTCCGATTGTTATAGTGGCCACATGAAAGGCGGTGGCTGCTCAATTCTCGGGATTGATACTCAGAGTAGGCACGGCCACTGCTTGCCACAGCTCAACCAGAAGGAAGAAACGAACAGATTGCGGCAACGCAGTGCAATGTTCGAGGTGAGTTGCTAATACAATTACAAGTAGTGCTCAGGATGAACTTGCAGACGAGGAGATAAATATTAAGTTTAAACGTCACTTGCTCGCTAACCAAGACTCGACGACCCATTCAACGAGATTACTCACTATGCACTAGATCATTGACGAAGTCACTTCGACTGGTGATGAGACGTCTGCAGAAGAAAGGTGATAAATACTAAGTGTTGGCAGCTCGTAATACTGCATCCAATGAACGGTATGGCATTTGTCAGGTTTGAGACAGCAGAGTTGACAATCGCCAGTCTGAAGGCACCTAATCAGTGTGCCTCAGTGATCCATTGAGCTATACTGGGTGGGGCTTTTGCACCTTCAGAGCCACTCTTACCAGATTGGTCAATGGTTAGAGGCCAGACAAACTCAGCCTCCTGGTCCTCCAGGTTGGGGGTTGGAATGAGGGTGGCTCCTTATTCCTTAAAACGGACTCCTTGTAGTCCAGTGCCAAACCCGCTGCCTTGCGGACAGGTTTTTGAACCAAAGGCTTTGGTTGAGAACCCTAATCGTTCTCCTGTCTAGGCCTAGACAACTTGACAGTATCCTGCCCACGCAATACAATGAACCCTTCCCCAAACAAATTTCTGATGCTCTGGCCACCGCAGAGGATAATCAACGGTGCCCTATCTGCTGCATCGAGCAGAGTGGATAGGGATTTGGATGCTACTGCTCAAGCCTTCCCATCTTCTTATTCCCCTTCTTGCGCTTTTTCACCCTTATCGTCCCGTTCCAGCTTTACTTTTATCCCCCCTGTTTTCAACCCCCCAATTCTCGGCCCTCCCCCACCTTGCTTCAATAGTCGCTTGTCTTCTAGTTTCAACTCACAGGTGAACGCAGAGCGTCATTCCTGCACTGTCAACAAGCCCATGTCCAAGCAAGCGTCCCATTCCAGTTCATCGGCTTCCATTTGGAGTCCTCGATCCTCCTTCAGATTGGTATGCCTCAACGTTCGCACATTGCTTCAGATCGGTCAACAGGCAGCACTTGCCCGAACATTAGAGACCCTCTCGATCGATATCTGCTGCTTATCGGAGACCCGCCTGCAAGACTCGAGCTCTGTACTCACTCTGCGATCCCCTTCAGGTGACACAAGCAGCACTTTCTCATTGCGCCTATCCGGTGACGATGCAGCTTCGAGCACCGGCCAAGCCGGTGTTGGTATTGCCCTGAGTCACCGGGCTAAAGCTGCTCTGGTTGACTGGATTCCAATCAGTAGCCGGTTGTGTGCGGTCCGGTTGGCTGGCTCGTTCAAAGCTTCGAAGTCACGTGGGACTAACAGGTGCCTGTTCGTGATCGCTGCCTATACACCGACAAACTGTAGCGATGACTCGGTAAAAGACGACTTCTATCATCAACTGAACGAGCTCCTTAGCCACAGAAGAAGCTCGGACACTGTAGTGCTGGCTGGGGATCTGAACGCTGAAGTTGGAAAATTATCCACAGATGAGCTGCATCTGGGCGGCCAACATGGTATAGGCTCCCGTAATGATAACGGTGAGCGGTTACTTCATTTGTGTGAAGATGCGCGCTTATTTCTTGCGAGCACTAATTTCAGACACAGCACCCGCCGGAGGGTGAATTGGCGCCCACCAGCCTCGAACCAGCTATGGACGCAAATCGATCACATTGCGATCAGTTACCGCTGGAGAGGCTGCGTCCAGAACTGTCGCTCGATTTGGAGCACAGGTGTTGACACCGATCATGAACTTGTATGTGCTGACCTGCGGATGCGCTTTGGCGGACGCCCGCGACGATGTTGTGAGCGCATTGACACCGGCAGACTGGTGAATCCAGATGTTCTGAAAGCCTATCAAATTTCGCTGTCATCCGAGTTGGATAAACGCTCACTGGATGCAATTGAAGCTCACTGGTCTCATATGCAACAGGCCTTACTAGCAGCAGGAAAATCCTCATGTGGTATGTCTAATCGCCAACATGGACATTGGGTCTCTTCACAGTCTCTGGAACTTATCGATGCTCGCCGGCATATTCCGGCTGGAAGCGAACACAATGAAACTCGCAAAGAGCTCCGGGCAAGACTCCGTGCTAGCCTGAAGAGAGACCGCGAATCCTGGTGGTCTCATCGAGCAACAGAGATGGAAATGGCCGCTGCCCTTGGTAAACATCGTGAGTTATTCCGTCTTATACGGGAAACGGGCAGCAGGAGACCTGGTGTTAGTGAAACTATACGTGACGAGAGTGGACAGCGAATCCACAACTTATCAAAACGCCTGGAACGTTGGGCTGAGCCCTTTGAAAGGCAATTTAATCGGTCGGAATTGTTAGATTTCTCGCCAACCAGTGATCGCCCTGCTCCGTGGGCTGTTCCTTTGGATCCACCCTCTCGCTCAGAAGTCGAACATGAGATCAAACTGTTGAAGTTAAATAAAGCCGCGGGACCCGATGACCTTCCTCCAGCCCTCTTCAATTTCGGGGGACCTGCTCTTGTGGATGATTTACACGAGTTACTAGTCAAACTCTGGGAGCAGGAAACTGTCTCAACCGATTGGAGCCGCTCCATCATAGTCCCAATTTTCAAAGCAGGCTCACGATCGGAATGCGGCAACCTTAGAGGAATCAGTCTGATCTGCATCGCCTCCAAATTGCTTGCCTCTGTCATCCTTCACAGACTGACTGGCACTCGTGAAAGCCAGATTCGTGAAGAGCAAGCTGGATTTCGTCGAGGTCGGAGCTGCATTGACCACATCTTCACCTTGCGTCAGTTGTTGGAGCACCGTCACACATATTGGCGGCCCACCGTTGTCGTGTTCCTCGATATCAAAGGTGCATTCGATTCGGTGGATAGGCATGCACTTTGGGACTGTCTACTCAGGAAAGGTGTACCTGAGAAATATGTGAATATTATCCGAGCATTATATGCGCGTAGCTCGGGAAGAGTGAGGGCTTACGGCAAGTTGTCGTCGCCCGTTAATATCTCCAGCGGCGTGAGACAAGGATGTCTGCTGTCACCTTTCCTCTTCAACTTCGCTGTTGACGAAGTCATGGAAATCGCGTTCACAGGACACGACTTAGAAGGTGTGGAGCTACTCCCAGGAGAACGACTTCTTGACTTAGAGTATGCTGATGATATTGCCCTAATCTGTGACAGCTTACAAATGTGCCAGGCGGCACTGGACAGATTAGCACTAGCTGTCCGTCACTTCGGGCTTTGCTTCGCACCCTCGAAGTGCAAAGCGTTTCTCCAAGACTGGTCTGGACCGCCTCCTACGCTGACCCTTAGTAGGGATCAGCTAGAAGTCGTTCAAAAATTCAACTACCTGGGAAGTTGTATCAGCGCCCGTGGGATTGAACATGAGATCACGAATCGTATAGCAAAAGCTCGGGGCGCTTTTGCTAACCTTCGCCACTTATGGCGCCGGCGCGACATCACTCTTGCCCTGAAGGGTAGAGTGTACAATGCAGCGGTACGTTCGACCCTACTGTACGGTTGTGAAACCTGGCAGCTTAAAGCAGCGGACATGAAGAGGCTAGTTACGTTCGACCACCGGTGCCTTCGTAATTTAGTTCACATTAGGTGGGAACACCGCGTGAGCAACGACCGTGTTCGACGCCTTGTTTATGGCACAGGAAAAGGAAATGAACCGCTCAGCACCGTTATTTCACGCACCAGGCTCCGATGGCTCGGCCACGTGTTACGCATGCCAGCCCACCGACCTCCGCGACGTGTGTTGTTTGCGCGCCGGGGGTGTGGATGGAAGAAGAGGAGGGGTGGCCAAGCGATGACTTGGTCCAAAAGAATGAAGGCGCTCACTTCTGAGCTGGCCTCGGTTGGAGCGTCTCGGCTCCCTGGTTGGGGTCCGAAAGACGATGAACAAGTTTGGTTGGACACACTTGCTGATATGGCTAGGAGCCGACCTCAGTGACGTTCGTGCTGTGAGTTTCTTTGTCCCACCCCATCCCTCTTAGCCTCCCCCTCCAACCACGATCTCATTACTTAGCCTTATATAATTTTGCATAATAATTTTTTTGGGTGCACAGCAGCCGGTTGGTAGCTTACCGGAATGATGCCAATCCGTTACCGGTAGCTCAGCCAGCTTGCATCAGTTGCTTTTTTCCTCCTTTTTTCTATGTATTGCGGCACCGTAGCTGAGGTGTTCCCCACCTCTAGCTAACGTGCATGATGATGATGATGATCAGTGTTCCAAATCGTATTAGGTAGAGAAGCAAGTCCAGTCAACAAAGTGTCACTACCATCTTTCAGCAAAGATGGAGGGAGGTCGTCGGACCAAGGGCTTTTGTTTCGTCTCAACAAGGAAAGCTCATGTTGAATCTCTTCCAAACTGGTAGATGTGAGGTCTATTTACTACGTCGGCTCAGGCGATTCGGCAGTGTCGCAACACGTCTGCTGAACTGCTCTTCCAAATGTTTCGCCCAATGGGTTAGCCGACGACGCTGAGAATAGATCAATTGTCTGTCTTTCTCAGTTATGGTCGCGCTAACTGATGGGTTTCACGGACCCGTGTTCCGGATGAGCTGGAATGGCACTGGCTTTCTCCATCTCACGGGCCGTTGCCATCCACCAACGTTCCCGGTAGAGTCGTAGACTCCTTATCAGACATTGTTTCAGAGAGCTACGGACAGGTTAAAACTCAGTGCCCATCGGAAGCAGTTTCCGTGCTTCGGTCAAGCTGATCGATGCCACAGATACATCCACAGTTCGCAGTTTCCAGTTGAGTGCACAGCATGCGTCAAAGGCAATCCCAGTCAGCGTTCGGTAGGTCAACCCCTTTCATCACTGACATTTGGTGGGCTAGTTCGTCATGATATTGTTGAACTGCAGATTGCGAGTTCAAGTTACAGGTAAGGTTAGAAGATGGGCGCTTCTTTGAAGCCGGAGGAACACCGAACCGTAGGCAACCATTGTCAAAAGGAATCCATAAAGACTAAGGGGGCGTTTGTTTTAGGCTCAAGGCAGTAAGTGTTACGCTACAGGATAGCAATGGCTGTGTAGAGACAGTAATGTTCCCTCGGCCGGTCGAGTAGAATGCAACTGGATACATTCATTGCTTAAGATATGATAGCCCTGAGTTATTTGAAGACAGGCAGGCCAAAATGCGCATACAACAAAGTATTCCCTAGATTAAAAAGGCTTCTTGACACGTATAGTGAATCAAAGCACCGCCTAGGACGTCATCAACTATGGATGAAGTCGAGACTTGCAACATAAAACGCGCAGAAAGAAATAAAAGAATGTGCTGCTGGCAATAAACGAAGCAGTGTAGATCGAGTAAAACTTCCCGGCATGACATGTGATCGTTCACGTTATTAAAACTGTCCTGAGTGAAAAAATTACGGTTGCAGCTTCCAAAGCCACATCGATGGCACCATAAAAAAACTGCCGAGAACCAAAGAGAAAGCGCGTCGAGAATGGTCACATCGCGGCTGTAGTGTTCAGCAAACAAAGGAAGCCAGAGTGACGCCGGAGCGTTTGGCCTTCGGACAAGTATAGGTAGTGCAACAACTAGGAGAGGTTGATGCATTTCACACTAAAGGGAAAGTCAAATGAGTTCGGCAAATATTTCCGAACATCATGAGGAAAGTGATCGGTTTTAAAATGGAAGAGACAAGGCGAGATATAAGGAATACTAGATCAGCCATCAAAGCACGAGACCGATAGTTTATGCGCTCACTTCCAATGAGTCTTCCAAGGTGACACCCATCATCCAGTGTCCATTGACTTCTAGTAAGCGATCTCCAGGCTTTAAACGACCATCAAGCCCAACCGCTCCGTCAGGTGAGATCCAAGTGACAAAAATACCTCCGTCATTAAACACGTTGGACAGAGCGTTGATAGTGGGCTCGTTGGAAGATGACTGGACGCCGCCGGATATGCGAAACCCGAAACGTTCACCAACACGCCGATTAATAGTGATGCGCTAAAGTGGACACAAAAAGTGAGTGATTGAACGACGGGGAAAGAACAAAACTGATGCCAAAGCTGCGTGACAGCGCGAGTGTTAATGGAATAAGAAGACGGATAGTGGGGCGGCTAAGCCAATCTTGTGGTGGTCATTAAGCGTAATAGATGAAGTTTAGGAACAACCAACAATAAAACCGAAAATTGCGGAGCAGACGCTTCAAAAAAAGTAATAATAAAAGGTTGGTGGGGCTATCAAAATCCGGGGAAAATGTCGACTAAAGTGAGCCTCAACTCAAATGAGGTTAATTGGTCAAGAATGTGACAGTGGAGGTGAGCCGAGGAAAACAAACGCTGTTGCTTTCGAAACAAGATTTGAAAATACGTCGAAAATGCTCGCTGATCAACTCACACGTAGACCGAGTGGGGCCGGATCCCTGCGGATCTCTAGTTTGATTTCCTTACTGACTTGCACCAATGCACGAACGGCTTCGTCATGTGTTGCATTTCGAAGATCAATATCATTAACACGCAATATTCGATCACCAACGCGTAACCCAGTGTGCTGAGCGGCACCATCTGTTGAAATCTACCGGGAAAAATATCAAGTGACTTTGAATATGGAGCCGACTATATACAAGATGAAAGTATCACAGTGACAACACTGGGTAATGTGCACAAGCTGCAATGTGGCGGCCGTACTTGCGTAACTACAACAGCAAAAGCGATGATGGGTAGATTAATCTGAATCTTCGGGTTCAGATTAGGTGCACAAGCAGTGGGGGGGGGGGAGAGCAAAGCACACAGTTTCGCAGCATCATAGCCAAAAACCAAAAGAGGTCGAATCTGTGGGGGCATGTGTTTGAATAAGTGATGGGTAAGCGGTTGGTTTATTCTCAAAAGCAAAACATAAACGTAAACGCCAAATGTTATGGATAACGTGAAGCCAAGTAAGTTCAGAAGATATGGACGTTCGCTAGTGAATGAGCTACCGCTAGCGCATGTTAAATCTGAGCAAAGGGCTCTGGGAATCCATGTTTAAAAGGCGAGCCTCACACAAGGCGCACTCCACCATAACGAAGTATTCATGGAAAGGTTGTGTGTCGTTAAGAAGCTCGTGCGTGAACCTGACGGCCAGATAGTACGTCCGCCGACATACGCTTCAACCTCAATTGGCTTTACCCCCAAGCAAAGGCATCTCTTGTATGAAACCTGTGATGTGGTCGTTACTCGCATTGCTGCAGGCACAGCAAAACATGGGTGATTAAAGTATACATTAATGACAACACTAAGATAGCACATGGAAAGGAGTGAACGCTTTCATTGGAACTAAGTGAAAAGGGAACGAATGATGGAAAATTAGTCCCTGCCTTTTGGGCCGAAAAACACGACTATACTGTGCCCCTTCCAAGAAAGTGTCATCTATGGAATTCCATAGATTCAATGTGTATCGCAGCTATCAACGTTTAATCAATTTTCCAAGCACCTGAAGAAAATGGCTTGTTGGGGAGACTAGTATTACAATGGTTACTCTCGAAAGTGTGTTGGTTTGCCCCAGGCGCTGGGACATGTTCAGCGGTAGGAAGCGAGTGAGGGATTTGGGCCGTTGACCGCATGGAACACACTGGTCATAAAAAAGTAGTCAAAGATTTCGCTCAACTGAAGTGTAACTGATGACGAAAATGAAACAGTGGATTATGGACCTAGCTTAGTCACATCAACCAGTGTGCGCAAAAGGAAAGCAAAATGGAAGCCACAGGCTGGTGGTGGAAGCACATATGCGGCCTTGAAAACCACTCGCCTCTCGGTCACGGCACCGCAAAGCAGCTGCTGAGGCGGTAGCAGAGAAGGAATGCAAAAAGGGGGTCACAGTAGTCAACATTGCGCGTTCAATATAACCAAGTACTCAGCATAACAAAAACCGATGTAAAACGGGATGCTTTGAAACATAAGCAACGAACTTTAGAAATAAAGATCCCAGGTTCCTTATCGCTAAATGGCAAGCAATTGATGTCCGAGCCCCCATAAATTGCAAGTCCAAGGGGTCCACCATTCAGCCGTACGGTCACCAACTCCACTGGGTAGCCATTTTCCATGCGTAAGCGAAGTGGTCGTTCAGTTGCGGTGCAGGAGACAGTAGGGCAAACGGTGGCACCAGCGGTCCCAAGCCATGATTCTTTGGTCTTTGGGGATTGACAAGGCTGGCAACTAGTTGGAGGTGACTTCAGTGTGTATGGGTTTCGTGGGGACATTTGTCCAGTGGCTGGAGCTATGCGAGGTAGAAAAATGAACCAGTAGGCAAATTAAACTGTCATCGAAAGCTATTTAGTTGGAGTAAACCGAGAGGTTTCAAAATGTGTGTGTGTGTGTGTGACAAAGGGATTGACTCTTACGGCCGAATTCAGAGAAACAAACGGGAGAATGAAGAAAAAGCATGCAGAAGTGAAAAAATAAGCGCAAATGAACTAGTGTCGATTTTGTGGAAAGTTTAACACTACCGATATGTAACAGTGGATCGACGTGAGGGAGATTTATCAAGTAAACAAGGCGAGAGGCTAGCAACACGCCGCAGTGGAAAATTCTTATCTGGTAGTGGTTGTGCACGTTAAAAATCGTAGTGGACGACAAATCAAAGATAATGCTCAAGCACAAGTAACCTAGGCGGGCTCGCTCCGTTTTGACAAAAGGTATTTGGATTGAAACGGGCGATGGTAAATCGGTGGAGCATTGCGTCCCTCCCCCCCCCCCCAGCTGCGTTGGTGCTTTACGCCAGGTTGATTTAGCACATGGCTAGTAAACCGTTGCCTCCTATGGCCGCTTTGGAGAAAAAGCTTACACATCACGCTTAGTTCTCGATGATGAGGCTGAGTTTGTCTAACTTCAGTGGGGTACAAAAAGGTCAGGAAATTTGGAAAGCATAACCGAGCGTAATTCGACGGAGAACATGAATAAGCAAGCCACCACACCATACTAAGCCCCAACTTCGCCATTATGTGTTGTTGGTAGACAGGACGCCCGCCTGAGTGAAACTCCGGCGCCATCAGCCGACAACAAACCAAAAAATAAGTAAGATAACTAGTCAGTTTTGCTGGATGAAATAGATGCCTTAATCGACATAGAGTTGCCGCGAATTTAGCGTCACTGTTGGTTTCTGTTGTCAATTTCTTCGTCCGGTCAGGATACCCTTCTTCGATTTCAGCCTGACAAGATGACGTTTGCGGATTAAGGCGCCTCCCCTCCTTCGTCGTTAGTCCATTGTTAGTTTGGCCACAAGAATAATCGTAACTGAATGCACTACACTTCAGAGATTGAATCATACTCGGCCACCAAACCGAGTACGTTTACATAAAAGTGCAGACATGACGAGTGGGTAAGCCAATGGTACGCAATGTTGTTTGCGTTTAGCTAGCATGCACAACTCGCGCTAAAGTCAGTGAATAAATTAAGCAGAATGCGTCAACCAGTATGTGAAACGCACGTTCTCCACTAGATCGCGATCGAAACAAACGTGTTTTTGACCACTTAGCAAAAAGGATTGTGATGAGTACATTTGCAGTCTAGGTTATAACGTATTTTGCAAGAAAAGAAGAGTTGGTCCAGGTGTGTCGCGGTGACACATGAGTACATGTCTGCACACAACATGTCGAATGGAGCACAGATCAAGTGATATAAATTTGGCACACAGCTTACAGGTCAATGGAGTGGTGCCAAAAGTAGCGCGTGTCTACTCTGGTTAATGCAAGTGGTATGTGGGGTAAGCAACCCGGAGAGCAAGATAGAATTGGAGAGTAGTTAAACAGAATAACTGCGTCGGGGTAGTCACACCACCTGAGCCATCAGGTGCAGTAGCCCTATTAATCATCGCTAGCAGTTGGCACAAATCGACAACCGGGTACCCCGTGGCAACGTGACCATAAGCAGGTAACAGCCGGATTTATGGTGCTGGAAGGATGACAGCTGACTAATGAATGCGGGCACGGCAGAGGTATGCAAATACATACTGTAGTAGAAAGGCGGATAAACAGACTGAATACAAATAGACAACTGGAAAACTTTAATTCGAGAACCGACTAAAGATGAACGCAAGCACCTGTGGCAGGAAACGCCTCAACTTGCACAAACACTATGAGATTTCATGGTAAACTGATTCTAAGGTCCGGCGGAACCGCACAACAAGTTAGTCAGTGTGTTTATGTGGAAGCTATAGGGAGGCTCCGTGCATTTACGTGTCATGTATGCTGAGTGCCCCACAACTGTTGGATACCCACAGATCTGAAATGTCGAACCGTGAAAAACCGAGGGACTTGAGATATCTTGACGTGGATGAATAAGTAAATCTATGCATGTTCAAAATTACACTAGTGAAGTGTGGCCGCACATACCTGGAAATCGCACGCGCATGAGGACCGACACCATTATTGTCTGAGTTCAGTTTGTAGGTTCATTCCGTGCGATCCGCATCATGCATAGCAACATGCATAATGCATGCACTAGTTTCCTTGACACCCAAAAGGTCGGATTTGATAAAAGAACTTGATTGTCTCACCAATGTTTGGACTCCTGGGTCCAGTGGTGCGAATCAGTTGGAAAAGTGCTGTTATTACCCGATGTTTCGGCCCTTTTCGTGCGGTTGTGCTCAGATTGAGCATGGTTTTCTGCTAGGTTCCTACAGGTTCATCGACATATCGGATATCTATTGGCCAGTGTTATAAAAACTAATAGTGCTGCAAGCAGAGCCTTCCGCGTCGTTCATGGCGGCCGAGAAACTATTACACTGAAACTCGATATCATTAGAATACTTAGGTGAAAGCTTAGTATGCAGAGCGTCATCGTAATTCGATTAACTGAGGGTTGAGATAAGTTCTCAGTTTCCAGTTGACAGGAACATTTAATATGCTTCCCGTCGAAGTTTATGGATAATCGGCACCGAACCAGGGTATGGTCATAGCCGACGCCTTTGCTCCAGGATGGAACCGCGGCATCAGAAACTTATGGAAATTTGATCTGAGTTCATCGCTAGCTAGCTATCAGAGGGCGTCAAGTTGCAGACCGGTGCTCACTGTACATGAATACAGTGCGGTTAAAAAACAGTTCGTGGTCGGCGCACTACTGCAGAAAAGACCCGCCATTGTCCGCACGTTCAGAGCATGTCCCAAATTTATTACATGCCTGAGATTCTAAGGACCTCATATTATGTATTTGCGCGTTCATATGCCCGAAAACCAGAACTAACAACCTTGCTAAGCAACGTGTTGAGTTCATGGTTGAAAGCACGCTTGGTGGCTTTAGCTGAAGTCGGTAGGGGCATAAGACGGATTAAGATAGATAGCATCTAGCGTTGCTTCGTGCGCTAATTTTGGTTGATGCTGACAAATGAGTAGCTCACGGGAATCCAAGCAACCAACGAAGACTCAGGTTTTGAACGGAGAACAAATTGACCTGTGGTTGCAGCAACCCCGGGTGTGTATAACTAATGTCTAGAGGACAAGCCGCGTGAGGGTCTTTGATCCTGGTTTCGGACACGCAGCACACATGGACACGGAGTACGTCCAATGTGCATCTAAGTGCAATCCGCTGACTTACTTGTCATAGTGTGCGAATGTTGAACATCATCAGAGTAACAGAGAAGCGTGAGTTGACAAGAGGTTATTTACGGTATAAATCCAAAGGATGCTGCTGCGATTTAGTAGCATATGACAGAACTCTACTGGCACTTCAGCCGTTGTCAACTAAGCTGGGGATTGTAGAAGGAACACTGAAAGTCAAAAAAACCAAAGACCCATCCACACTCTAATAGACGATCAAAAGGGATCGTGAGATCAGAATGGAGAAAATGGCGGGTTAATTAATCGACCTGGACATGCCGAGAAAAACGGTAAAATAATGTTGCTTTGGCCGTGCGCCCTAGTAACGGCCGCCAGAGACCCTTATGCAGTGTAGCAGTTAGTGGAACACAGAATGCGCGAGACCATAGGGGACAAGGGAGTGTTAAAGAATAACTCACGGGGAACAGGTGATGCAGTTGCAGCAGCACCTAATACGTGACCAGTTGAAGGACGTATCACTTCCAATTCTAAACGTGTTAAAGAGCCAGCAATTAGAGCCATGACCTGATCGTGCTTGGAATCCGTTACGTCGATGCCGTTAACCTGCAGGGCAGTAGACGGAGAAACGGATTGGCAAAACTAACAAATGTTTGTGTTAACGCATCGTTGTGTAGGATGTTAAAGGAAACAAAGCGACCGAATTAGATGGCAAAAGTGAGACAAAACGAATCAAAAGGCCCGAAGAAATCAAGTGAATGCGAGGCCAACTGAATTGGGTGATGAGGATCGAATAATAAATATGATGAATAAATCGACGGAAGACTGAACCTGGTTGGTGCTCGGAGTCAGTCGATTCGAGGGTGATAAACTCTATGAGGCATAGCGCAGTCATGAAACTAGCAGAGAAGATTCGTTTGCTTAACGCATCCTGAATTCAAATGTCTATTCGTATGGAATTGATTTCTATCCCTCTGCTCCCCACACTATATTCATTCTCATTAACTAGTATAATCAAGGCGAATCGAGACAAGTGGACCTGCTACGGCGTCGATTCGCTGCCATGTGGTCACCAGTAATTGCACGTGGGGTAGGATGATGCGCCGCATGCATCTACGTAGGTTCAAACAGCGACCTGCTGATTGCAAGCCGAACACCCGAAATACCCCCCCCCACACACACACACACAAGTCGGATGCTGTTCACTGGGGGGTTGCAACCCAGATAATAAACAAAATGTCAAACAGCCAAATACAGACAGCCATATTTGCCGGTAAAGGTAGCAATGTAACTCCAGGAGATATAGATGGCAACTTAATTGGCGCAGTTCGACAAAAACGTGTTCGGGAGAGCGAAATGGAGCCACCATAATACGACAGAAGAACAAGGTAGAAAAAAGAGAAAATGCCAAATGAAATGAGGTGTAGAAACGATTGACAATGTCCTCATCATTGAGACCTTGTGATATTCCTAACGAAGAGAACGTATGAAACTCGAAGTCCCTACCTTAAACAAAGCGACCGGAAATAACAACTGACAAGATCGGTAGTGAATAAAGGGTTGAAAGCAGAGAAGAAAGCGCTGATTACAACAGAACTTGCGGTAGATGAATGCATGGCTTCGGAAGCTGAAGTGTATATACTTCAGAAAAGCGAATGTTCGATGGAATGCGATTCTGCAATAAGCGGTTTCATCTAAGGGGGTGTGATCAGAGGAGTCGGTGACCATAATAAGTCAATTGACTGTGTGAGGCTGATCGGACAGCTGTCAATGGATGACCGTCAAAAGTAAATAGACTAGCGTGACACAATAGGGCGAAAGCAAAAAAAGTAACGATCTGGTCGACGAAACATTGCTTGATCACAAAGCAAAGGTCCAGAAGCATGAACGGTGCTCACCTTGACTATTTCATCCCCAACTTGAAGGCTTCCGCATTTGCTCGCTGCTCCACCGTTAATGATTTTATGTATAGTAATTTTCTAGAAACAAAAATTAATAAAGGAAGATGAGTCAAATTATAATGAGCGAGCGGCAACGATGCATGTGCGGCTCTATGGACTAGGCAATTTGCTTGAACAGATCCAAGGAGTTTAACAGTGTACATGGAAGAGTATGTTAGTGAGGCCCACAAAAAGAAGGCAGTATTACAATGGACTTCATTTAAATCAGAGGCATATGAACAGCCACGATGGAAGAGTCCACAGGTTTACGTGATGTGGAACAAAAATGCATACCATAAGTTGCGCCGAGTGAGTGAACGAAATCACACGAAATCACTTGCAGGAGGAAGAACGTCTGACCAGAACAGAGATAAGTAGGAACAGTAATTGCGGATGTTACGGCCTTGATCAGAAAACGTCGACTAACACATGTGCGAGCGCATAGTGAGAAAGATCTCTTTCCAATAACTGAGAGGAACATATCGCCCTTAAGAGATCCAGAAGACCCAGTGTCACAACACAGAAAATAGGCCAGGTGTACTAAGAGTAAACAAGGCGTGGAATTGTAACTAGAAATGACTCTGAGAACAAAGGAAACGGGTAACACGACCAAGCAGAAAGGGCCACATCGTCTAGACAATTGTTTCGTTCTGTTTCATCAAAGGTGAAGGAAAAAGTAATAAAACCAAGTTAGCGGGCAACCGCTGCATGCTCGCTTGAAATTTACAAAGACCTGGTTAACAGATGTGGGGGAGCCTAACGGTAGAATAAGCCCATCTAAGACGCGCAGGCCATGGGAAGGGAAAGCGGTAGAAGACAAAGTAGTAGGCGTAGAACCACTTACAAGAAAAAATTTGAGACGCTTCCTAGTTGGGACGGCTACTTACTGTCGCGTGCTTTGGCCATCAAGCGCCGTAGAACCAATGTGATCGGTCCAATCCATTGTTTATCTAACTGGGACCATGTCGAAGCTGGCTCATGCTTGGTCATACCAATATTCGGCTATTCGTCGGGCCTGCGCGATTATAGTCGACTCACGTGGACGATACTTGATTCGCTATCTGTCTCTTATTTGCCTGTCGCCACCGTTCGCCCCGTGGATCGGCAGCCAGTACACCTCGTGTTGTTATTCGGGGTTGGTTAGTGTACACGCTCTGTTCGCTCGCAACTGGTCGAGCCAACCCGAATCGCCTCTGTCAGTGCATAAGCCGCGCTTCGTTCACTCCAGACTGACCCAATCCAACTGTCTCTCAGGCTCGTGCAATTGCGGTCGGTTGCGAATGAGTAAACTACTGCCTGCCTACGCCGTAACGGCCACGTTCACCCAGATGATTAGTTGCCATCACACCCAGCTATTCACTCACCCAATGCATGAAGTAGTGATGACCAAGCCGCAGCGCTCTACAACATGCAACTGGTCAACAACTTTGTATAACACTAGTTCCGAAAATAGCCAATAACGTAACAAGTGCTACGACCCGTTGGAGTGCAGGTATGTTAGGAATGTGAACATTTTCCAACGAGGTCGACTGAATCGCTTCTACTGTATTCGATGGAAACGCGGCCAACCTGCAGTAAAGGCCACTATGTTCGTTAGGTGCTTCATATGGTGTGTCTCGATGAATTCAGGAATAAATAAATTATTTATTTATGTATAAAGCGACGCTCAGAGTATTATTAGAGATTTGTGATATAATGTGAATGACTCGACCCAAATGACCACCGTTAATGTACCACGCTTGGACATCGTCACAGAGTGGGGATGGAAAGCTTATGTGCATAGGGTGTTGCCCGCTCGAAAACGCCGCACTCCACTACGTGTTGCAATCTTGTCTGGCCTCATCAGGTAGAGACAGGAGACGTCGAACCCGGGACCATTGGTATGTTAGCGGCTAAAGGGGCAGAGGCTCAAACAAACTTCACAATGGTCCCGGGTTCGAAGCCTGTCATCCTTACCAGATGAGATCAAATAAGATTGAAATGTCAAGTTCAGAAAGATAAACAAAACAAGAAGCTCTAAGCGAACAATTGTTTTCGATTAATTCTTCTTCAGACTCATACAATAATATACAATAGTGTAAAGTCTGTTGCAATCGTCAGTATAACAAAGAAACAACTGATCAGAAAATTTAATTTGTGATCATGATGGCAGTCATCTGATCACATGACTGAAGTCAGATGGAGTTGCGGAGTACCATCACTTCCTACCCGGCTGGTGGTCGGCCAGGGAAGTTGTAGTGTTTGTATCATCTTCTGGACACTCAAGTCCGGATTTGTCGGGCGTATGCATACTGCCTCAGTGGTGGCAAGTAGGCTTGCTCTCACACGATGGCTTTGCCTTGGTGGTATTTTGTAGAGAATCTGAAATGATGTTTGTTTGTTTATCTGGTGGCCTGTGTTGATTAGATGGTTTGTAATGGCGCTGCAGTTTTCTAGCGATTGTAGAGCCAACCTGGGAGGTGTTCCTTAATTATCTTACCTAAACGCCTGGTCGTGCGTCCAATGTACCTGGCCCCGCACGGGCAGGTGAACCGGTAGATTAACATTGATTGGAGATGATCAGGCACCCGATCTTTGAATCGCAGCATTAGTAAAGTTCTGCTCGTGAAAATCACATTCAGCTGAGCCGCATTGAAGGTCTTTTTGCAGCTTTGCTGCAGTCGACGCGTTCATGTCTCAGCCGCACTATTTCCTTTGAATGGCAGTGTCAAGTAAAGCTGTTTCTTTTCAACGGCTTGTTTTGATAGTTTTGGTATGCATCGCCTTGTATGGGTCTCGATAAATCGCTCCGGATATCCATTTTCAAGAAGCGTTTCTTTGATTTGTACGAGTTCGACTTTTACGGTGCAGTGTTTTTGAGTGAGCAATACCCAATTCTCATACGCTTCATCTACGGTCCTGGTGATTAAATTGGACAAGGTTCGTTCAATGCAAATCACACTCCACATTGAGATTGTCCGTCACAAGCCAAACACAACGAGTACCTCAAATGACCCTCCAATGAATAACATGAAGTTTGCGATGTTTAGATTCACCGCGCTTTTCGCTATTAAAACACGGTCTGTGAGCAAAAGCAAGTCGCCTCGGCTGCATTCCAAACAGAATTGGTAACATCAAACACATAAGCGATAAAGAGATCTACTTTACCGGTTATCAACGATGATCGAGTAGTGAAACGAAGCACCTTACAAGAGATCAACAAGTAAGGCCAGTCAGAGAGCAGACTGCTGTCTGTACACCGGAGTGGAGGGAAGTCGACACAAATTGGAGAGTTAACAGTGATCCCCTGTGTTGAAGTATAAGACACGTGCTTGGAAGTTACGGCTCGCTGTGTACGGAAAGCGCAGCCTTCAGGAACGTCAAGACAAAGTGGAGGAAAGCTTCGGACATTTACAGTAGCCGTGTGGAACGGAATGGTGAGTCTCTGAGATAATTCAGAGAAATAAAGAATGAAAGTAAAAACGAAAAATCGAGACAGTTTGATGGCTAATAAAATGTGCTCCATTGAACCCTAACGCAGTGCAGAGAGCAAATATGGATCTGAGGTGGCAAGTAGTGGGTTCGCGGAAGGCAGTCACACATATATGCTCATGATATATTTTACCATAATCCAAAGCGATAGTGACAACCACACAGTAAGCCATCTCTAGAGAACATAGCGAGTAACCACATAAAAATAGGAAAAACTCATTGGAAGGAATGGAACTGCATCAGTTGCAGATAGAAATGGACCGATGCAACATCGGAAATTCAGTATGGTACCAAATATAGTAAAGAGTGTGAATAACGAGTTAGTAGGGAAAGAAGTAAACATATAATGGAAACATGGTGAGCAGACGGAAATGTCGAGCGGTAGACGCAGTTTAACCGAGACAGACTTTTGAAAGTAGAAAATCGATCGGTATGCAACCATCTAAATAATACAGAAGATAAACCGAAAACAGCATGAGGAGTGTATGTAGGTTTGTCTCTAACTACTACTGAGCAAAGGGGGGCAAGGGTCGTAGAATCAGGGACCGAAACAAAGATGAACAAAAAATGAAAGGGAAAATACATTGGAAAGTATAAAAAGGGAGAAAATCATAATGAATGCACGCAAATAAGGAAAACGATTCAGTCGGATGAACGCAACAAAAAAGGGGCGACGAGTCAAGAGAGGTGCAGCAGAGAATAACCAAGTATAACAACGAGATAACTGTTATTCGTAACCGATTTCACACTGATGATTGGCAAACTTTTGCAATGGTGGATTGGACGTTACGAACAATTAAAAGTAACACAAAGCAGTGGATGCAAGTTGCTTGAATTTGTGGAGCCTATGGGGACAAGCTCAACTCACTGGGTAGAGGCTGCCGCGGGCGTTAGTATGAGCGCAGTTAACAGTGAGAAGTAAAAACTTCCACAGTACAGACGGCAAAATAACAAGTAGTAGGCAACCAAGCGAACCCACTCTGAGAAGCAAGTGTACATGGAGTTTAAAACCGTCCTAAACATGTCGAAGGCAATGATCCACCGAAACCGCACGGTACAAATCAAAGAATCACTTAGACCTGAGATAAAATGTTCGAAACTGGCAGGCATAAGGGCCAGAAGTGATCGAATTTGGTGTTACACAAGTGCAGAATAAGAGCGGGACACAAGACCAACCACAGGAAAACCGAGTAGTGAACACACATAGAACAAAATAGTCAGAAAGATCGTACCTCCCGGTCCACAGATGGTGAAGTTCCGCGAACACCGGTCATAACGAAACCGAATCCAGAAGGTTCTCTATAAAGCGTGCAACGTATGGGCTGAAAGAAAAGTGGTGCGGTTTACGGGTAAGCGCAATGCGGAAGTGACGGAACACATATCAACTAATGGCACGTTAACGCGCATTGAGATGTGAGAAACATCCGATAAGAGACCAAAAACTTGAACCAAACATCGGTGCATCAACTAGGGTCTGTGTCTCAGAATCTCCAAATATACTGCTTACCCATTTCTAATGATGAAACGACAGCAACATATATATATATATATATATATATATATATATATATATATATATGTATAATCAGGGGGAGTATGTGGTACGTTTGCCTGAGTGATGAGTAATGGTGCATTTGCAGAAGCAGATGTTATTTGAGTTCCCCGGTGTGGCTGCGCCTGATGTGAATGTTGACAAGGTACCTACCTGTTTGATACCCTCCACCTCGATTGCTGGCTCCAGGAGACAGTTATTCGTTGCTGGAGGAGACGGAGTGCGCCGTCCTCGTGACGGTGCTAGGTTCAAAGAGCGGTTCCATCCTGTGTGGAACGGGCTATGGTCCAGCCACCGTCTTGTGTATGTCTGGTGTGCATGACTTCCCAATTACGCCGGAATGCTTCTGTTCGGCTGGTTGAAGGAGTGTGGGCCGGCTCCGTTGATGAAACGTGGCTCCCATCCACATGCCTCCCGGTCTTATTCCTTCTGGTTTACACCGGATACGGGGTGTGTGGGTGGTGCAGTGCAAGCCACCCATGGGCCCCTTTGTAGGCGAAGACGTCCCGTGGCTATCCCCATGGAGGCCACAGTGATAGGCGAATCCGGCTATGGATGCAGCCATATCACATGCTCATGATTGTAATTTGCCCTATGCTGATGCTACATCATCGCACCTGGGATACTCCGGTTCAACTTTTATCATTCACTATGCACCTAATTACGTCGAGTTCGTTTACTCTGAATTGCTCAGTTCTCTCCCTCTCGGCCGCACATGCTACTACGGTCACGTTCGTATGCCTAGGTAGGACATACATACTCTTGGTCCAGTGCAGTGTTGGGCCTGTGGTGCTTCCAATGACCGAGAATGGTGCAGAATTACTACGACGCTCAAACTCAATGGTTTGTGCGTCGTGACGGATAGATGGACCGAATCAATTTATGCCAAGTTGCGCGGACCCATAAAGACGATAGTTGTGAGCCAGACGGAACGCAGGTATTGTTCAACGTTGTCAGTAAACCGTTGTTTATTGTAAGTTTACTATTCAACGAGTAACTGCTCGCAGCATGAAAACTTGGGCTGTTATTTTTACCCCAAAACCAAAGTCATACACGCTTGCATTATTAAGGTCCATGAGGATTAATGTTCTCCCATTGGGATCGTAGTGTATCATGACTGTATGCTGACATTCCGCGGTTGTCAAGACCAAGACTGACGACAGCCACAAGAAGCAGACGCATGAATACAGGTTACCATGCGCTTGAGGAATTTTCCTAACTAGATTCCAGTATCTACATGGTAATCGGAGCTCAAAAGCATGGGAACACATACGCAATAAAGGTGGTGCTTGCAATCTCACTTATGTGGACCTAGCATCCGAGCTGAGAGCCACTAGTACTGCGAGTGATCTCGAGTTGTCTTCACACGTTTATATGAGTGTTGCTCATTGTGAATATCAGAACCACATAGCCCTACTCTGTATGCACACTTGAATGGCCACAATGGCCAACACATCGAAACGTGTGTGTGCGACGGATTCAAAAGAACACAGATGAATCCTTCGGATTGGTCGGCTATCCTCCAGCATTCTTATCTTAAAAGCCAGCTCGCGTCGGGACCGCGTTAGCTTCAGGCTACCAAGCACTTGCTGAGTACAATATTCCACAATGGTTCTTGCATTCGAGTGAAGAATTGGGTGTATGAATCAACAAGTACTCTACAACGCTTCTTCGTTTTCGTCGCAACTGTCCAAACGTTGGCTCCTTCGTGTAAAGTGAACAATCTAGGCCAATAACTGACTAGCGATTGACATGCTGATGTTGATACTACATGTTCTGTACTACATATTGTCACGCGAGTGAGTGTACCAATATTACCCGCTGTTCATCCGTCGTACTGAACTTAAGTGCACTTAGAAAAAAGACCGCTATTATCTAGGTGATATGCGAAGCGGAAGGGTAAAGGTTCCTGCTAGAATTTGCATTAGAAATGCCCAATCCTCTGGATTGACCTAGAGGCAGGTAAGTTTAACCGTGGTGGTACGGCAGTGCTTTAGTACATATTCCATCGAAAAATAAATCCACGCACAGAAAAAATTGATTTGTTTGAAAACAGACTGTTAGTGAATCGTAAGCGGTTAAATTACAATGAGAACCGCAGGCTGCATGGGAAAATCGTACGTCCAACTAAGCACTTTATCTGCGCCATCTGCCGAGACTCTTGATAACCCATTATTTGTCTATCCTCATGCGATTAACTATACAATGCTCAATGCTTTCGTTGCAAATCGCACCATGGATATAGAGATTCACTGTCTACCTAGTCAATGTCTAAGTGGTTTCATTCCAACTCCCGCTTACTTACGCTTGCTTACACTAATTGTGGTTATATTGTTGTCTTTATTGCGATTGTAGCTTCTTTGGAGTAACTTCTGGACATTTTGTACTTATCGCAGATTCACTGCTTACCAACTCACTTCATATGCTAATTTAGCGAAGAGTTATGTCGGCATGGCCGTATGCTTTAACAGATTCATATCATTTGTTAGTGTCATCTCAAGTGATTGCCTGTCGTCTGACATCCCCGGTGTGACTGCGCTTGAGGTGCATATTGACAAGGTACCTGCCTGTCTATTACCCACCACCTCGTCCATATTGGCCCTAGGAAACAGTTGGTCGTTGCTGGAGGAGACGGGGTGCACGTCCTAGTGGCGCAGCTAGGCTCGAAGAGTGGTTCCATACATTCAATGTGGAGCGGACTACGGTCCAACCACAACCTTGTGTGTGATTGATTCCCAAATACAGGGTGTTTGTGTTTGCCTGTGAAGGAGTGTGGGCAGGCTCCGTTGATGAAACGTGCCTCCCGGTCTTATTCCTTCGGGTTTACACTGGATATGGGGTGTGTGATTGGAGCTGAGGGTGGTGCAGCGCAAGCCACTCATGGTCCCTCTATAGGCGTAGGCGTCCTGTGGAGGCCACAGTGACAGGCGTTCGTGCGTGAAATGTATTTGTTGCCCAGATGTGTGATTTAATAAGTCTTGTTGAAACGGATACAAACGGAGAAAGTGTCACTGAAACCTTCAGGGGCAAGCAAACTCTGATATCAAGCGGACCAGAACGTAAAAGTGCCTAAGATCTGGACGGTTTTGAGGTAGTAAACACAAGACAGGAAAAGCAACCCTATCCGTTGTAGCTAGAGTACACCGGATGGAGCCTAGTAGTACAAAGTGAGGTGGACGATATGAGTGTTAGGAGCTGGAAAAATCTAATAAAATCTGAGAACGCACAAAGCAAAGACCCTCTGGCTTCCGAGGATAAGGTAGAAAATGTGACTGAGAAGGGAAGGAATAATGGACTCACTGGGCTAGAAGATGCACCATTCTCCAAACGCATGGCGGATGAAGGAGAGGACACCACAGCATTTGTCAACGGCTCCTCAGAAGAAAAGGCGACGTCCCGGAGGACTGTGATATAGAAGTCATCTGCGTTGCCACGCAAGGCGGAAACCGCAACGTGGTGTTCCACGTTGACTAAGCTGGTGCCATTGACCTAATAAGTGTAAAAAAGGGCAGGAAAAGAAAAATACTTAACCTGATAGACAGTTAAACCTGAAATACGAATGCCATTACCAAATCAAGTCGAGTCAGGTTAAGTTTAAACGGTAAAAGGCACTTATTCTACCAACATATGACGGCCGGAATGCTTCAAGTAGGGAAAGAAACAAGTGTACACCCACCAAATAAGATCAGAAAAGTTGGCAGAAAAGAGTAAACAAGGAAAATCGAACCGCAACAAGTGGTTATCGTCGTCGCAAAGCTTCGTGGCTATAAGCATCACCAGAATAATCAGTATATACGCACCATGTGCTGACGCCTCCTTACAGTACGGTAGTAATTAGCATACTAATAAGGAATAAGAGAAACAAAAGGGACCGAGACCCGACGCTAAACATCATGCTTTAGGCGAACATCCACGGATAAAGCGCCATCACTCAGTCGAGCAAACACGATCACATAAAATTGGTCATCGCGCGAATAAAAGGTGGCGAGTGGTAGACAACCTCTCTATGCATTGTAAATAATTCAATATCACTTTTTAACTAGGCAGCTGAACAGGGATACGACAATAAGTACGCCACAGGGGCCCGTCGCGAATTAGTTTACGTAAGGTTTTGAGTAGAGACGGCGGGTGGACCTTAGCGTGGACAAGACAGATGATTCGCATAAAGGTCAGCGAATCCGTTAAACAAGACAGGATGACATCAGGTAAGCTAAGGGCGAGAATGTATGGTAAGCATTCAAATCGATTTTCAAACTAACCTAAGGAAACAACATGATCATCACTATAACGCTTTGATGTCGAAATTAGCAATGCACCATAGACAATGGTAATTGACGACCAGAAAGCGCGTTTGTGATCTTCAGATTGTAGTGGCTAACTTCATAAAAACAGAGAACGGCATTTACTGCGGTTCCGTGTGTCGCAAAATGTCAGGCCATTGGGAAAAATACTTTTTCAGCAGAAGTGAATCATCGAAAATGAGAGAATGCGTAGCTCACACAACAAATCCCAGGCAATTTGCATCAAGGGACAATTAATGTGCAACATTAAAAATGAGGTGAAGTCACAAAAATCGTATGCACTCCGGTCAGAGAGGAGCGAACGCCAAAGCAAAGCTGGTCAAGAAGTTTGCCTGTTATTAAAAATAGGCGTTTATTTAGAGGAAAATGTAATAAATGAATATACCGTTCAGACTGACACGTAAGCGGGGACGCCGCTATCATGAAGCCCAGCCGATGAATGTTTAACTTTGGTAAATTTTAACAAAAAAGCAAACCAGATGGCAAGAGCGTAGTCAAACGTTGCTAACCAATTAGTTTAGTTCAGCTTAGTTAAACGACCACCGAAGTGCGGTGGATACGGTTTCCACGGCTCGTGTCACATGGTTGGTAAAATAACAAAAGCGAGAAAAATGCAGTGGAACACAAGAAGAATACAAAAACAGGGTAAGACTAAAGTGTTTTACATTATTCAAGTCAAGATACTGATGGTCGCGTCCATCGGTCCGTGACTCCGTTGACGGCAGACAGTGCATCATACCATCAATAACATTCTGTTCAGTGCCAATCCATCCAAATGGCTGGCTAACGTCTATGCTCTACTCCCGCTAAGTGCTCACTTTTAGCGTCTCCACACCGTCGACTTAACATACATTTAGTGTGTTTTACTGCTCCAAGAGGCCAGCGCCGTATAAAATGCGTCGTTTCAGTTACGTCTTGCATTCAGTGAAAAGGCGTGTAACGCTGCGATAATACCGGTGTTACTGTAAAGAGCAGAGATCTGGCCAGTTCGCAGTGAAGACATTAAACGCTTGGCAATATTTGACCACCGATGCTTGCGGAGTATCGCTCACATTGGAAGGGAAGACCGGGGAAACAATGGTGAGGTTCGCCAGTTGGTTTCTCGCAAGAAGTCTTCTGGTGGCGCACACTAGCCTTTTCTGAGTTTTAATTGCCTACCTTGGTTTGGTCATGTCCACCGTTGGCCGCCCTCCTCAGCGTGCATTATACGCCGTGGCTGCACCAAATTGGGCGAAACCGCGAGGGAGCCAGTCAACGACGTAGCATAGAGGTATGAAGAAATTGACAGAAAGAGTCGATCAGGATAGTGCGTGCCGTCTTCATGGATGGGGGCCTCGGAATGGTAAATGTCGCGTAGCCCTCCAGAAATCAAGAATGTAGTCTTGGCAGCGGTCAGAAATCATTATTAAAGAGAATCGTAGTTTTTGATAGACTACATACGGTATTCCGCTGTAGTCAGCTTATTAGCGGTCAATTGTTAACTAGCTTATGACGTTAAATCCATCCGACTGGTTCGTGCTCGTTCTTCATTTGAACCGATTAACATTTACTGAACCCAAGCTTACATCGAGCCACGTCGTTGTCATCGCCGATTGGCCATGGGTACTTTAGGTTTAAGCTTTCCATGCTGGCTAGTTGATACAGCGGTGCGTATCGTCTAAATGGACCGACGTGAGCCACCCACTCGCCATACGGCTGACCAATATGCGTCTTCGATGCCGCAAATCACGCTGTTCCTAATGTGTGTCGAGCCGGACAAGTCATGCGCGTTCCGCCTTTGTCTGATTGGCCCCCGATCCATCCTTACCGCGATAATTCCCTTAGTCCCAGGTTTCAGTCAACATCACAGGCCACACCAATGGTTGGAGAGTGTATAGGACATGTCGCAGTCAGTGGTTTCGTGTATTCGGTTCCTTGCATCTAGTTGTTAATGTTCGTTGCATCCTTATTCGTTTAAAGCACCTCCTCCTTGATTCCATTCTCTTTAGGTGCCTTTGCATTCAACCTTACTTTTCTTATCGCTATCATTCGGGCAATGTGAGTCGTGGCGACTGGAACCACTGCACTTCGGTGCCCAGAGCGTATTTGTTTAACTGAACTGAACTACGCCTAAGCTTATTGTTCAATTTGTTTAAGGACACATTGATATCATGGGATCCATCAGCGATATTTGTCGCCAGCATTGCACGGTTTCAACATTCATGGACACCGAGATTACTTTTGGTTCACGCACCCCCCAAATAGGCTACAACAGTAAAAAAAGGCTACGTGCCGCAGTATCCGTTTTTGAGTCAGCATCCGCTTTCGCAGTTTTTGCAGTTGTTCATATGGTGGTGAAACGGGAGGTGAAAGTGAGACTGACGCACAACCGAAATTTCTTGTCACTGCGTCGCATAGGCTCAGCACTCGGCTCACACTGCTGACTGGAGAATGGTATAGCCCCAATAGCACGAAATAAAGGCCCTTTTGAGCGGCTCTTAGCTTGGGTGACAGTATTTGAGCCTGCCATGCCCAGGTGCCTCTTCGTTTAGCTGGATGTGATATGGGCTGGTATGTAGGTATGTAAACCACCCACTAAGCACCGAGAGACCGGAGTTTAGGAATGACAAACTGAGAGATATTGTACGAAAGCGATTTCTTCGGTGTCGCGCATTCGTTGTGGCAGTGCTGGGTCAGCCCCAAAAAGCCAACGTAGTGATTCATTGTAGGTAAGCGAATGCCCTAATGGTTATGGATAAAATTCAACGCTACTTTCTAACAAGGATCTGGAACACCGGACAGCACCATTGATTCCTTGGTAGTGTGTCCCGTGGAAACGGTAGACTGTACAATTGTATAAATAGTTAAAGGCATGACAGAACATCGGTATTCTTTCTATGCTAAGGCTGTGACTCCTAGTCAACTAGGCTCGATGAGCGTGTTCTAGCAAATTCTTGTGCAACAACGGCGCGACCAAACTGCGATTCATCTTCTCAAATAACCTTGAAAGATAACGTCTCACAACGCAGCGTACGCTGAGTGTGCTTATGTATGGTGATGTATTTCGTTTAATTAATCTTCCGTTACTAACAGGTGTTGCACAAGGTCTACATCTTTCATCCTGTCCATATGATGCTCGACTGCCAGTACCTGAGGTCTCGACAGGGTGTTCGCAACGCACCTACAATGTAATATCCAAGCCGCATTTGTGATGTTGGATAAACACATTGAAAGTGCCGCGGGACGCTGCGCAATGTCTTGCTGCCAACAAAAAGTATGGTGCTGCAAATACGGTGAAAGTTGACGTCAAGGTCTTCCTCAGGGGATTGCTTAAGGAGCACATCGTTTGCCACACACGTCACACATGAAGATGTTCGATCGCACGTGGTAAATGTCTTTGAAGTTCCCTCAACAACGTTCAACTTAACGGCAGATGCAGCAAGTAAAAGCATTAAAAGATCCACTAGGGAACTCGCGTTTCCAGCTAAGAATACGTGGTGAAATGCAGAGGATAGGTGCACTCTTGAGGAGTGACTAGTTTCAGCTAAAAGAGTAAAATGCCACCGAGGATCAGCAGTGCGCAACGATCTCCATGAAGAGTTCCGCTAAACGGCTTCGGAACACTGCAAATCGTGGAGGTTCTTTGTAACCAACTGATGTCATCATCATCATCATCGTTACACGTTAGCTGGAGGTGGAAAACACCTCAGCTATTGTGCTGCAATACAAAAGGCAAGAAAAGAAAAAACAAACAGTGGCACGCCCGATGAGTCCCCAGTAACGGATGGACATCGTTCCGGAGAGCTAACAGCTCGCTGCCGTAAAACAGAGTCATATTATGCCTAACAAGTGAGATCGTGATTGGATGGGGATGCTAAACAGGAGGGGAAAGGACAAAGGAACTCACAACACAAACGCCATTGTGGCCGGTTTCAAGCCATATCAGCAGGTGTGTCCAACCAAACGTGTTCACCGTCCTTAGGACCCCAGCCAAGCAGTCGGGATGCACCAACGGATGCCAACTTCGAAGTGACGGTCTTCATCTCTCTCGACCAAGTCATCACTTGGCCTCCCCTACTCCTCCTCTTCCAACCGCACCCACAACGCGCAAACAATGCACATCGTGGGAGTCGGTGTGCTGGCATGCGCAACACGTGGCCCAGCCATCGGAGCCTGGTGCGTGATATAATAGTGCTGAGCGGTTCACGCCTTTTCTGCACCAAATACGCGACGTCGAACGCGATCATTGTTCACGAGGTGTTCCCACCAGACATGAGCTAAGCTGCGAAGGCAACGATGATCGAATGTGACGAGCCTCTTCATGTCTGTCGACCTTATGGGCAAGGTTTCACAGCCATATAAGAGAGTTGAACGGACGGCTGCGTTGTAAACTCTGCCCTTCAGGGCGAGAGTAATGTCGCGTCTGCGCCACAGGTGGCGGAGATTGGCAAAAGCACCTCGAGCTTTTGCTATACGGTTCGTAATCTCATCTTCAATCCCACGGGTGCTAATATAGCTGTCCAGGTACTTGAATTCCTGAACGACTTCTAGCAGATCACCACCAAGCGTTAGCGCAGGGTTGGGTCCCTGCCAATTTTGGAGAAGTACTTTGCATTTCGATGGAGCAAAGCATAGCCCAAAACGATTGACAGCCAGTGCTAATCGGTCCAGTGCTGTTTGGCATGTTTGGGAGCTGTCACAGATTAGGGCAATATCGTCCGCATACTCCAAGTCAAGAAGTCGCTCACCAGGAAGTAGCTCCACACCTTCTAGGTCGTGTCCAGCGAACGCTGTTTTCACGACTTCAACAGCAGCGAAGTTGAAGAGGAAAGGTGACAGCGGGCATCCTTGTCTCACACCGCTGGTGATACTGAAGGGTGGTGAGAGTTTGCCATAAACCCTCACCCTGCCCGAACTATGTGCGTACAGCGCCTTGATAATGTTTACATATTTATCAGGCACACCTTTCCTCAACAGACAGTCCCAAAGGGCACATCGATCGACTGAGTCGAAGGCACCTTTTATGTCAAGAAACACGACTGATGTAATTAAATTTACTCCACGGGCTAGTCTAAAACCACGATCACGCTAACTGGATCAATTTACTTCAGTTAAGAGTGAACGTGTTAGATAATGCGAATGAAATCCACTTATGCAAGCGACGCAATGCTTTGTGGTGCAGAAAATAGTGGCAGCAGTGGCATTCTCGAAGTTCTCCAAACGTGGGCAAAACACAAACGGTCACTGGTGACTAACATTGCTGTTCACTTGATGAGGACTTGATGAGGTGAATGAAGTCACCAATGCCGAGAAAACGCAGTGAATCAATGCCGAGAAGCAGCACAAGCTTTTCTTCCACGACCAAGAATTGCAGCTGATATACTGCGTACAAAAAGAAAGTGAACTTCGAAATAACGAGCCAACTGGCAGAGATAGCGCGTTGCCGCTACTGAACGCACGTAGATGCATATTGCCATGTTCCGCTCCGACCGCTAGTTGGCAATCTATAAGCATTGGAGTGAGTGATTACACATGCTGCTCGTCGGATTGGTGCCAACGTAAAAACCTTGAAGAACATGTGAACATAACAGTTTGCAACAAACAAGGAAAATCTGTTACACAGGCATTTCGGTTGCTTAGTCAAGTATACAGGAGTGACTATATGAATCGCACGCAGTGCTATAAGTAGTTTAAGCGTTTTGAAACAAGAAGAATGTCGGTCGGGGTGCAGATCCCATGACTGGACGACCATCCACATTAACAGATGGTGACCGTACCGAAAGTGTTCATGCTGTGATAAGTGGATAACCTTCGCCTAACTGTTCGAGAAGTTGCTGACGTAGTGGGCATCAGTGGAAGATCATGTCGTCAGCTTTTGGGTGACAAACATGAGATGCATCGTGTTAGTGCAAAATGCGTGCTGTGTTTGTTGACTGACGATCAAAACACAGAACCACGTTGAAAGCAGTCAGGAAAAGTTTGCGACTGTTAATGGAAACGGCCTTAGGAACATGATAACAGGTGATGGGATGTGGATTTATGGTTATGCTATTGTAATGAGGAAAGTGTCTCCTCGTCCAGAAAGTAGCACGAGATCAAACCGATATTGTTTGTGTCTTTTGAATGCAAAGGCACTGTTCATCAGGAATTTGTATCACCATGGAATTCTGGTGGGTTTTTCGGATGTTGTGCATTGGAAGAGTCCTGAACTGTGGGAAAAGCAGACAGGAATGTTGCATTATGGCAGTGCGTCGGCTTTCGAATCACTCATTGTTCGTAGTCGCCTAACGAAACATCAAACTCCCATTCTGCCCACATCCACCGAATTCTTTGAACTTAGCCCCAGTAGACATTTTCATGTTTCCAAAACCTAAAATTACGCTGAAAGAACAACACAGGGGATCAAGAAATGAAGGAACTCTGCACATACCTGTGAAGAACAGATGAGAGGCAGGTGAAACCAGGTCTGTGAGACTGCATCCTAATCTTCAGATAACTATGGAAGCGTGTGAGCGGTGATACCTGACAGAATGAGTGCCAACTCATGAAGCAATGGGGAACGAGTTATGGTCTTCATCACGTGGGGCCACCAATCCTTGGTGACTGCGGATGCCGCAGCGCACAGAGAGTAGGGAGCGCGGTCAAGATATAAAGTAAACATTCGGACGATCAAGGGGACAAGGTGAAAGTACCGATTCCGTGGATGATGCCATACTACGTGGACAAATACTACAACAGAGTGTGGATGAAGGTTACCTTCAGAGGGCTGTTTCCTATTCTACAGCAAATTAGATGCGGCAAATTGAGCTTGGAAATATGTGGTCGTGCAGAGGTGGAACATGGAGTGAACAAATAAGAGGCGAAAAACTCAACGTAGATCTAAAACGGTTAAAGACGAAGGCAAGCTAGTTATATTTTGAGAGGAAGAGATCCTTTTCAAATCAAGCAGTGGATTGAAAAGCAGCATCTTGGATACAATTAGAGACGGAATAAGCGATCGTTAAATAAGCCGTGCTACAAACAGTAGATTAGAAAGGCATCTGAGTGATAAATAATGAGAATGAGAGCAAAAACCAGAGCAACAAACGAGTGCTAATGCCTCAAATAATCACGAACGATAACACTCACTTCAATTATTTTATCGTTTAGTCGGAGTCCAGATGAAAATGCAAGCCCGTTGGGATTGAGGCGGCTTACAAATATGCCCTGATCGGAACCCAAATAGGGGATGGAACCGGCACCACCAGCGATGCTCAAACCCAGGCCACAACCAGGTTGTCGATGTATGTGAATTACCTTCCTTTGTTGGGCTTTCTGAACAGCAGTGGCCAGACCAGAAGCAGGATAGGATGAGTGGTCCTGATTACCAGTAGAGCTACTGAGAGCTGCAGCAAGCAACAGACGTGTGCTATCAGACTTAGAATGGAGGGTAAAGGAAGAGAGTGCAAAGAGAAGACAATTCGATCGTGGAATCCGTACAACACTACACTGACAAAGTCATCAGACTGTAACATACCATTCCACTCTGCCCTCCGGGAGAAACCGTTGAACGGTACTTCTCCAAAATTTTCAAAACAGCCTCCTCACTGTCCACTAAAAATAAAACGATAAAAAAATAAAATGGGAATCCGGACGCCATTCATTTTTCAGCGAGACTATGGAAAGAGTTGATCTTACCTCCATCAGCCGTTTTGGATTGAATGCGAGCGCGTTTGGTGTAATGGGGTGTATCTCGACGAATTAGTTTCTGATTCGATTTTTCCTCGTTATCTTCCACATCTTCGGTAAAGCCAACGCGCCGGGAGATAACGCAAATTTCTTCCTGAAAAGAACCATGGACACTGGCATGTCGGCTAGGGAAATAACACACTTCACTAAGAAAAAAGTGTCGACTTATAGATAGGAGCAAATCAAATTTGTCGTAAGTGTCGGGGATACCAGACATCTCATCGGAATTGAGTGAGCGCACAGTACCCTTAGGAAGAACTAAGCCGACTAAGCTAACAGCGATCAATTGCTAATAGAACTTACACCACCGCTGCTGTAAGCTTCTTCATCGTCAGCGTTCACTACGGTGTCCGACTTCGACGAATGCTCACGCTCGGCGTCCACTGATTCGGCTGGAGGAGGACCACGGGAAGTGAAAGAATCGGCGTTGCAAGAATCCGAAGTTGTATCATCGGCGTTTGCAGAATGGGCACTAGCTGCGAAAGAATCTTCCGGATCCCAAATCTTCCTCCGGGGTCTATCAATGAAACAAGTAAAATGAAGTCGCAACTGAGTGAACACTTCAAAGCTAAAAATGGAGAAACGGGGCAACATTCCAGAAAGTGGAGAGTTATGAACCACGATCTCAGTGACTAAGCATAATGAAACTCTTCCGCAGCACAATGGCCGGCTGTTAGCTCTCTGGAACGATGTCCATCCGTTAACGAACCGGACTTTAAGGTGGTGCGATGATTTGGGTGCTTCAGAGATCCATTGAGCTATGCTGATTGGTTCTTTGTGCACCTTCAGAGCCACACAAACCAAATTAGTCAGTGGTTAGAGGCCTGGTAAACTCAGTTTCCTGACCCTCAGGCTTGGGGGTTGAAGTGAGGGTGGCCCCTTACGGACTCTTTGTAGCCCAGTGCCAGAACCCCGCTGCCTTGCGGTCACACTATTGAACCAAAGGCTTTGGTTGAGAACCCTAATCGTTCTCCTGTCTAGGCCTGAACAATCTGACAGTATTCTGCCAAATCAATACAATGAAGTTTTTGTCAAACAATGTCTTGATGCTCTGGCCGTCGCAGAGGATAATAAACGGCGCCCTATCTTCTGTATCGAGCAAGGTGGATAGCGGTTTGGATGCCACTGCTCAAGCCTTAACCGTCTTCTTATCCCCTCTTGCGCTTTTTCATCATTGTCGTCCTGTACCAACTTCACTTTTATCCGTCCTGTTTTCAACCCCCAAATCTTGGCCCTCCTTCACCTTGGTTCAGTAATCGCAGGGAGTCACTCCGGTCCAATCGACAGGTTTATGTCCAGCTAAACGGAGTTCTCGATTCTCGCTAAGACTGGGATGCCTCAATGTGCGCACTTTGTTGTAAATTGGTCGACAGCAATTGCCCGAACACTAGAGACCTTATCGAGCGACATCTCCTGCTTATCAGAAATCGATTGCACGATTCGAGTTCTGAGATTACCCTGCGATCCCCCACGTGCGACACTGGCGGTATTTTCTCATTGCGTTTGTCCGGAGATGAAGCGGATTCAACCGCTGGTCAAGCCGGTATGGGCGTTGAACTGAGCCCCCTGACTTAAGCTACCCTGATTGATTGGATCCCAATGAACAGCCGGATGTGCGGTGTCACATTAGCTGGCACGTTCAGAGCCTCGAAGTCGCGCGGGGACAAACGGTGGTTGTTTGTTACTGCAGCCTACGCGCCCAAAATTGCAGCGCTGACACGGTGAAAGATGACCTATATCATTAACTGAACGCATTTCTTCGTTACAGAAAATGTACGAATAATGTGATGCTGGCTGATGATTAAAACGTCCAAGATGGAAAACCGTCCGCTGATGAGCTTCATCTGGGCGGCCAACACGGTGTAGGCTCCCGCAATTATAACGGTGAGCGGTTGCTACACCCGTGTGAAGATGCTCGTCTTTCTCGCGAGCACTGACTTTCGACATAGCATCGGCACACCAGCCTCGGAACAGGCGTGGAAGCAAATCGATCACATCGCGAACAGTTAGCGCTGGAGACGCTGTGTTCAAAACTGGCGCTGGATTTGGAGCACCAGCGTGGACTCTGACCACGCAATTGTTTACGTCGACTTACACGCGCGTTTCGGCAGACGTCCGCAACATCGCTGTAAGCGCATAGATAGTTGCCAACTGGCGAAGTCAGATGTTTTGAACGAGTATTAAAGTACGCTGGTATCCGAGCTGAATAAGCGCGCACTGAACACAGTTGAAAATCAATGGTCGGATACCTGCCAGACGTTATTATCAGCAGGCATGTCTTCATGTGACAGCTAAAGTGGCCAACCCGAATATTGGGTCTCTACACAGTCTCTCGAACTTATGGATGCTCGCTGATGTGTTCCGGCTGGAAGCGAATACAAAGAGACTCGAGGAGACACAAAGATCTCTGGGCGAAATTGCGTGCTAGCCTGAAGAGAGACGATGAAGCCTGGTGGCCTCATCGTACGTCGATGGAGTCAGCCGCTGCTCTTGGTAACCATTGGAAGTTATTCCGTCTGAGGGAAGAAACGGTCAGCAGACCAGGTGTTAGCGAGAGTATATGCGACGAACGTGGGTAGCCGAACCACAGATTGTCAAAACGATTGGAGCGTTGGGGCGAACAGTTTGAGAAGCAGTTCAATCAGTCAGAGTTTCCAGATTTTTCGTCGGCCAATGATCGCCCTACTCCTTGGGCTGTCACCCTGGATCCGCCCCCACGCGCGGAAATCGAACGTGAGATCAGACGGCTGAAATTGAACAAGGCCGCTGGAGCAGATGGACTTCATCTAGCCCTCTTCAAATTCGGGGGACTTGCTCTTTTGGACGGTTTACATAACTTACTAGTGAATCTATGGGAGTAGGAGACTATCCCAAGAGAATGGAACCGCTAAATTACAGTCCCAAGTTTCAACGGAGGCTCGTGTTCGGAATGCCGCAATCACAGAGGAATCAGTTTGATCTAAACCGCTTCTAAGTAACTTGCCTCTGTCGTCCTCCATAGACTAACTGGCGCAATTGAAAGCCAGATGCGCGAGAAGTAGGCCGGGTTTCGTTGAAATCGAGGCTGCATTGACCACATCATCACATTTCGTCAAGTGTTGCAGCACTGACATTTTTATTGGCGACCCACCGTAGTTGTGTCGCTAGACATCAAAGTGGCTCCCGATTCGGTTGAAGGAGGTGCCCATTGGGACTGTTTACTGAGGATGAGGATGCCCCAGAAAAAAATAAATGTCATAAGAGCGCTGTACGCGCATAGTTCCGGCAGAGTGAGGGTTTACAGCAAAATTGCCGCCCTTCAGTATCACAAGCGGTGTAAAACAAGGTTGCCGGCTGTCCCCTTTTCACTTTAACTTCGAAACTGAGGAGGTTATGGAGCCGGCGTTCCCCGAGTAAGACTTGGAAGGCGTTGAGCTGTTCCCAGGTGACGGACTTCTTAACTTGGAATATGCCGACGACAATGCGCTGATCTGTGACAGCTCATAAACGTTCCAAACTGCAATTTATAACTTACCTCTGGCTATCAGTCGTTTCGGGCTATGCTTTGCACCGTCGACATGTAAAGCCCTTCTATAAGATTGGCAAGGGTACACTTTCGCACGAAACGTTGGTAGTGAGAATCTAGAAGTCATTCATAAATTTAAGTACCTCATCATCATCATCATCATCAACAGCAGTACATCAGCCATTTGAACTGATGCTTCGCTGCCATACAACCATGAGGACCTATGAAATAAAGAATAAGAAGTGGGAGAGAAGGGGGACTTACCTGAAAACCTTAATGCCCTAAGCAAACATTCAGGGTCAAGGCGCCTACACCTTGTGCAGACAACATACCGTCACAAACAGCTGGCTATCGTGCAAAGATAAGGCGGCATCGGCGAGACAGCTTCCTTGCGGCTTTCACTGCCACGCGTCATAATCAGCCATTACCCTGCAGATAACTCAGCACCAAACACACTTTAAACAGACAATCCGATTAGGAGACGGCAGCAGACGCGCCACTGGTGTCGACTGCGAGCCATGTCCTGCAAAGTCTCGAGCCAAGCACAAGGTGAGTCACGTGGACTCCAACCCGGAAGGCGAGACGGACCAACGGCACCCAGTTTGGTCGTCAGTGACTTCATTTCCCGCTGCCAAGTCAACTTCTGTCCACCTCGAGCCTTGCGCCATCCGACACTTGGTAGACTGAACAAGGCCCTCCTAGGTAAGCGGTGACCAGGCATACGTAGCACGTGCCCGAGCCAACGTAACTTATTCAGTGCTATCTGTTGTTCTAGGGAGCTAGCATGATCATCACCACCTAGTACTCGCCTACGCACATCATCATTGCGGACACGCTGGTGCCATCCGACACCAGCAATGCTTCGCAAACAACGATGATCAAGGACTTGAAGGCGCCTCAGATCTTCAGACCGAAGGGGCCAAGTTTCACTACCACAGAGCAGAACGGCCCTCACTGTGGCCTTGTATACACGGCCTTTCAGACGGAGGGAAACTCCCTTCTGTCGCCAAAGATGACGCAGGTTCAAGAAGGCAGCTCTGGCTTTTGCAAAGCGTGAGCTCACGTCAGTTTCTATGTGCCCATTATTGCTGATGCAGCTGCCAAGATAAGTGAATTGATCAACCACCTCAAGTTCCTCGTTAGCAAGCGTCAAGGGGTCATCAAGTGGCTGGTGGTCCTGCAGCAACACTTTGCACTTTGAAGGTGCGAAGTGCATACCAAATAATGGGATCACTCTGGATAGGCTATTCAGGGTTGATTGTGCCGCCTCAACATTGTCGAAAAGCAAGACGATATCGTCCGCATAATCTAGATCAACTAACCGTTCACCAGGCAGCACTTCAACACCTACATCGTGAGATTCCGCAAGGGAACACTCCATGATAGAATCCACGACGAAATTGAACAAAAATGGGGAAATTGGGCAACCCTGTCGAACGCCACTTGTAGTCGAAAAGCTATCCGATAGGGCACCATAGACCCTGACGCGGCCTCTAGTGTTCGAGTATAGAGCACGAAGGATGTTCACATATTTCGTGGGAACACCTTTCCGCGCAAGTATTTCGAACAGAATCGACCGATCGACTGAATCGAACGCACTCTTGAAATCGAGGAACACAGCTATTGTCGGTCTGCGGTATGCGTGGCGCTGCTCTAGCACCTGCCGCAAAGTAAATATATGGTCTATACAGCCACGTCCTGGGCGAAAACCGGCCTGCTCTTCTCTAATCCCAGATTCCCGTTCTGCAGTGAGGCGACGAACGATAATCGAGGCCAGTAACTTTGTCACAACTGGCGTTAGGCTAATACCCCTGTGGTTCGCACAGTCTGTGCGACTGCCCTTCTTGTATATTGCCACTATAATCGATTCGCTCCAATTAGCCGGCACACTCTCTTCGTTCCAGATACGTTCGAATAGGGAGGTCAGTGCAATGCAGAGGACCTCACCTCCATCCTTAAATAGTGCAGGTGGTAGGAAATCCGGGCCAGCGGCACGAAAACGATTGAGGGCT